TTGATGTCATTATGCTCCAGGAGTTAAATACAGACAGATATCATTGCCCTGGGTACGCCAGTTATATAAACCCTGTTGGACAGGAGAGACATGGACAAGGTCTAGTGGTAAAGGAGGGAGTGAAGCATGTGGTGCTTGACTTGAGCCAGTGGAACCACAGTGGACGAGAGGTTCAAGGGATACAGGAGGCAATTGGTGGCTTAAGTTGGAACCTCATAAATATATATGCCATGGTAGACTGTTTTGTCAGAAGTGGCTCAAGGAATTGGAGGAGTTACCAGGTGATAGGTTACTCATATGTGGGGATTTCAACGCGAGGAACAGAGAATGGGACAGCAGTGGAGAAAACCGAAAGGGAATTGCTCTTGCAGAGGCCGTGGTTTACTCCACTCCGATATGGTCTGCATCAATGATGGGAGGCCGACTAGAATGACAATGAGGTCTGGAGATGCAGACACAGCCATTGACTTGACATTTGTCTCTCAGTCATCATTTTAGATGTTAAATGGACTGTCCTGAATGACCATGGGAGCGATCACCTACCATGTTCAGTCTTGATTTCTAAACTCAGTCAGGTTAAGGTTGGGAGAGCACGCAAGACCTTCCGGTATACGTGGACCAACAACCTACTTGGACGCCTCAGACGTGGAGCATGCAACAGAACTGCCAGAACTAATTTCTACAGCCCCCATGGTGGACTCCAGAATTTGAACAGGCGTGGAAGGCAAAGAGAACCGCGGTGAGGCAGCTAAAGAAAGTACGAAAGACACCCTCAAGCTCATGAGAGGAAGTGGAGATGGCGGAGAATGTAAAAAAAAAAAAAAAAGATAAGGTGAAGGTTTTCAAGCGCTTTGCCGCAGAGGCCAAAAGAGCAAAGTGGGACACTTTTGTGAATGATATGGGAGGCGATAAAACATTGGGAAAATTCTGGAAACTGCAAAGGCAGATGCAAAGAAAAGACCGGCCTATAACAGTCTGAACAATTTGTAGAGACGATGGTGTGCGTATGACAACAGACAAGGAGAAAGGGGATGCTTTTCTCTATAGGTTTATAGCTCAGACAGATCATAATGATGTAGACATCAGGGATGCAGTTAGAAAGGAATTAGCTGGCACCTTGAAGAATAAGCATTATGAAGACATGATACAAGTGAAAGATATCAAACAAATTTGAAGGCTTTGAGCGATGTAGACCTGGCAGAGATGGCCGACTGTTTTAACCAGAGCATTAAGACAGCATCAGTACCGCAGGACTGGGTGCACAGCTATCTAATCCCTCTACCAAAACTTTTAAAGATCATTCTAGCTTAGTGGCTTTAGAATCATCACCTTACAAAACAAATTTGGGAAGGTCTTGGAGAAGATTATTGCTGTAAAGCTAAAAGAATTTTTGGAAAGGGGGAAGCGATGAATGCGCAAAAAGATCATTGTGGTCAGAGGAGAATGGTGCGGCGCGGAGTTTCCAGGAGATCTGGCCGATGCTCAACACTCAAGGGAAAGGTGATACTGACATACAGACAGTTGCTGGTGCCATGGGAATTAGAACTATTTGTTTGCTGCTGAAGATTGGGACGAAGTGCTTATGGGAGTGTCCCTAGTTCTATGATGTCGATTCCTAATTCAATATTTTTGTATTCAATCTATTCGTTGCTTACCTTTCAGGCAGATACACTCCGACTTCGAAGGAAGCTCCCAATTAGTCGACTTTTGCGACACGCTTTCGGGTAGTCAATCGTCTTGTTTTTTCTGCAATGGGGCCCTGGAAGGTAGGTGGGTAACTTGTATCCCACCAGGACATCACAAAACACCAGGTGACACAAAGTGTCATGATGCGGATGACGATTACCCGTGGAGAGGTCCCTGAAACCATCGTTCAGGCGTTAGGCCATATTTATGGCAAAAGCCAGGGTGGGGACGACTAGGTAATAATAAACAACCCCCCGTAATCTATTTATCTTCTTTTACCCCACCAGGACATCACACAAGCGATAAGCACCCGATGACACTGCCACCATGCGGATGAGGATCACCTGTGGTGAGGTCCCAGAAACCGCGTTTAGCCATTAGACCACATTTATGGCCGGGCTATATTGTGGTCCCTGGCAAGAGCCAGAGTAGGGTTTCAAATAATAAAAAAAATTGCATCCCCCGAAGGGAGGACAAAGCAATTCAACAGTATGTACCCCCCGGAACGTAAGTCGGGAATAAAATAAACACGAGACCTGGTCTAATTTTCATGGAAACACAGTACTACCACCACGTGTCCAAAAGCTTTAAAAATAACTCTACTGAAACAGAAGACTGAATAAAAGAAAACACTATAATTTCCCTAAATAAATTAACGAAGGATTTCAACGGGGCACAATGGTATAATAGTTTCATTAAAAATAATACATAAATGAAAGCGAGAGCATTCGTTTTCTGTGGTCGCCCTTGTGTTTTGGGGTTAGATTTTTCAAGGCACCATCTGTTGTTTCTACGGCTAGAGAGGAGGAGCTTGCCTAGCTCTGCTAGACTACGCTGACTGACTTGACTACGAACTTTAACTTTAGCATTAGCCGGCCGGGTGATGGCAGTAGTTGGCCAGCAAACCGTTGATGCTGTTAGTTCAGATCACAGATGCGCGTGCGACTATAAGTACCATCAAACATTTTGCTTACGTGATCTCGCCATTTATTTCAGTTGTTATAAAACTTTTCTCATCACCGCTGACGTGTCTCGGGACGCAACTCAAGTAACTTAACTGTAAACAAGGTGACTTCTTCAGTTATTTTATTGCGACTGGTAAAGGTATTATTAATATTATTATTATAATAACCGGTTTGCAAGTATTATTTAATTCTGTATCTTAATCTCATGATGTTTTCTGTTATTTCAGTACCCTAGTGTATCATACATTAGAAATATAATTATGTAACAGGGAATTATATTATTGTACTACAATTTGTAGTAATCTAGTAACATTTCCATTTCCTTTTGTAAGATAAGATGCTGCTGGTTCATTTGAATTTAATTACGCCGCAGTGTCATTGGCAGTTGATTCAGGCCCATTCGATAGGAACTTCAGTGAAGTTTCCAACAAATAGAAACCAGCATGCTTGTTTAGATAATGACCAGACAGACCTGGTGTCACCAACTAGAAAGAGAAGGCCAACCAGAGAGATTAATGGAGGCGGGTGATTGCTGCTGCAGCGGTGAACCTCAAGGGCTTGGAATGCTGAAGAAAAAGAAGATGCTTGTTTTAGTTTTGAAAAGATCAGTTTAACTGCACACACACATACCTCCATAACATCAGTGCCCAAGCCCCCTTCTGGGATCACATATAATCTCTGTACTTCAGTGATTATTCCGGTGAGTAACAAATGAAAAGTACTGAGGTACCCTGGTAGCATCAGATGGAAGATGTATTAAGACTTTAAATATAGAATAGCGCAAGCAAAGGCAGCATTGAACAAAATTAAGGACATCTTATGCACTCTTTCTTTGTCAGTTGAGATGAGAAAGAGAATTCTTAAAAGCTACATAAATTTTATTTGATATACGAAAGTTTGACATTATGGCATGGAGGATCATCAGTGTCAGAGTTGATTAAAAGTACATGAGACAGAAGTTTGTGGATAGACATGACTATCAATACCACATGGCATGGACTTTAAGAAGAATATACTCCCAGAAACATGGGCTCAAATCCCTTGGAAAATGTAGGAGGGGGTCAACCAATTAATTTTTTTTTTAGTGGGGGGGGGGGGTGTTTTAGCCACTCATGAAGTTGTTTGCCTAGTGGTGAGGAGGTCGTTGGAGAGGGGGAGATGCTAAGGTACCACTTCCTTCCCCACTTTCTTAACTCTTTCAGGACAAGATATTTTCTAGGATTTCGACAGCATTATGTTTTAGCTGAATTATTTTACTGCAAAATGACAAAGCTAAAACTTTTCTGAAGAAAAGTATTGGCAGTATAAGAACATGTAAAATATCAAATTAAAGGGGAATGAATGCAAAATAAATCTTAAGTTATTTAACTCCATACAACAAAAATAAAATTATAAAAATCTCACAACATTCAAGGATGTTAAACAAATATAAAGATTTCTTGCACATAAAATGTTGTGCTTACCTAACTTTTTACTTTTTCAACAATCTTGCTATCAATTTCTAAAAATTGACATGCCTCCTCTGTTCAGTTATGCAGCAGTTTGTCTTTATTTGAAACAATTATTTTAAATACTTTGAATTTGATGACAATTTTGGTATGACATGTTACATTTCGCAACAACTAAATTCACTAGCTGTAAAATTCCCCGTGTGGGTTCCGGGGCCCTATTATAGGGAAAACAAGAATAGACCCACTGCCTACCCAAAAGCATGTCGTAAGAGTCGACTAATTGGTAACTTCCTTCGAAGTCGGAGTGCATCTGCTTGAGAGGCAAGGAACTAGCAGTCTACATACAAATGAGTCAGATCTGTAAAACTGATGCACACGCAACACTCAGGTTCTGGAACAGGACTGCAGTCCAGCAGTGGATAAACAACCAGAACTTTCCGCCAGAGTTTAAAGCTGGTGAACGCGAAGAAGAAGAAGAAGAAGACTAGCTGTAAACTCAGGAGGAACATTCTGGTTGTTTGTCCACTTCTGGACTTTGGTCTTATTCTTGGGAAGAGTCTTTTACTTTTACAAGCATAAACTAATTACTTTGTTTTCAAATAGTGACAAACCCTGCATTGCAATAGGTAACTAAGATCACATTTGGCACCAGGTTTTTTTTTTTTGGGGGGGGGGGGGGGGGGGAGTATGTATGCACAAACATACCCCCCCCCCCACCTCTCCATCTTTAGTGTTCTGTCTGGAGCTTAAGTAGGTGATTAGTCAGTGCTGGTGCCTTCACCTGTGTGTGATATCAGAGCTGATAGATATTGCAGGCTTATAGATATCACAGGCATCAATATTGCACGATAACGCTGATGAATAGATTCTTATTTCATCCCCAGACATCAATTAAACCATGAGCTCCACTGCAGTAGTGCCTGCATATCTTCTCTGGTCAAATGCAACAGACATTTTGTTCTTCAATGTGCTCGGGGTCCTGGTATGTCTGTATGCCTTACATGTGGAGGTCAGCAAGGAGAAGGACCCATCGTACAAAGCCATGTGTGACATCAGTGAATACATGAGCTGTTCCAGGGTGCTAACTTCCCAGTAAGTTCTTTGTCTGTTCACACAAACACTAAACTTGTTGACTGCCAAAGCTCATTAACTTGAATTATTTATATGTGATAATTCTAGCATGTTTGGTAAAACCGAATGTTAGCTTCAAAGTGGGATTATTAAGCTTCTCTTGTCATTGACTTGGCAGCTAATATCTGATATGTGTAAAATATAGAAGACATAATTTATAATTGTCTCAACAGCCTACATGTTTGACCGTTATATTACTGTTAGTAATTTAAGTATCTAGGCACATGGAAAACATCTGATGGAAAATGTGTCACAGAGATAAAGAACACAATGGGATAGGCCAAAGTGCATTTTATAAAATGAAGTGCAGTTTGAAAGAGCTCAGCGTGCTGTACGAGTCTAAAAAAGTACGGTGATGTGGTGGCCGGTCTGAGGAGAGATGAGGCGTACACAGTAAAGAGCTTGATTGTCGAGGTAGGCCCAAGAGGGCTTAACCCACTTCCACAAACAATGTACTAAAGCATCTGGGCTTGTGAAAAATAGAGTGTAAACTGGCGCTAAAACAACTGGGTGAAGCTGCAAAAAGAGCTTCGAGCTGGTTGTGGACACAATAGAACGTTGTGGGGGATGGGCCTCGTTAGACTGGTCCCAGCCCCTAGTGAAAAAGAGCTTTACATCCCTAAAAGCCAAAGTGCCAGATAAATGTCTACCAGTATCTCTCTGCCAGTTGCAAAAGTCTAACGTCTGTCCGATGAACCAACTGCAAGCTTGTCACTCTGGTCGTGAAGGTAGGTGCATAATTTGCTACTGCAGCGACACTGTAAAACACCATATCTTACAATACCTGTTGCAGAGTCACTATTTCGTCTTGTCCCTGTCTGAACGTCCCATAAAGTGCAGCAGGGGAAGAAAATGGACCGAAACAATTGCCGACAAGGGACCTTTCTACTGAGTATCAGTGGACCCCTGCTGTGCATGCTTCCCTGTAAGTTCTTATTAATCAATAAATCAATATCATTGGAGGTTAGGAAAAGAATTCTCACATGCTAAATAAAGCCAGTTTTAACATACGGAGGTGAAGCGTGGAAACAAGCTGAACAATTTCTTGAGGCCTCTGAGATGTGTTTTTTACAGAGTGTTTTTTACAGAAGAATACTTACAGTTCCTTGAAAAGCCAAAAAGAGCAACCCGGATGTTTTGAAAGAGGTGAAGGCTTGAAGACAGCTTATCACAAACATCAGAAAGAGACAGTCATCATTTTTGGGTCATGTTATAAGAGGGAATCTGGAACATATTGTGATCACTGGAAAGATTTGTGGAAAGAGAGACAGAGGAAGACAACATGAGTAGATTCTAGACAGTTTTTTAATCATAGCATGGAGGGGTGTGAATACACAAACCTTTACATGTAGTTGTTGATCACACATTGTGGAGAGGTATGATCTCCCACACCAGTTGGCAAGATAGTGCTTTAGGTATCAATAGAAGCAAACTGTTTTTTAATTCTAGTTAATGTTGCTTCAGTATTTAAACACAAGAGTCTGCATAGGCAGACATGACATTTTTGCAACTAAATCAGGGGATGACAAAGTCACCACACATATGAGACGAAGCTACAAATGCCCCAGGAAGCTTACCGGGAAGGCTAACCCTAAAAACATACCTGAAGAAGTCAGCAGGCACAAATATGGCATCTATGCTGTAAACAGGCACAAATATCACATCTATGCATTAAACAGGCACAAATATCACATCTGTGCTACAAACAGGCACAAATATCACATATGTGCTATAAACAGGCACAAATATCATATCTGTGCTATAAACAGGCACAAATATCACATCTGTGCTATAAACTGGCACAAATATCACGTCTATGCTGTAGACAGGCACAAATATCACATCTGTGCTGTAAACAGGCACAAATATCACATCTAGGCTGTAGACAGGCACAAACATCACATCTATGCTATAAACAGGCACAAATATCACATCTAGGCTGTAAACAGGCACAAATATCACGTCACATATCGGGAAGGCTAACCCTAAAAACATACCTGAAGAAGTCAGCAGGCACAAATGTCGCATCTATGCTGTAAAAAGGCACAAATATCACATCTAGGCTGTAAACAGGCACAAATATCTCATCTATGCTGTAAACAGGCACAAATGTATATGCTATAAACAGGCACAAATATCACATCTAGGCTGTAAACAGGAACAAATATCACATCTAGGCTGTAAACAGGCACAAATATCACATCTAGGCTGTGAACAGGCACAAAAATCACATCTATGCTATAAACAGGCACAAATATCACATCTAGGCTGTAAACAGGATAAATATCACATCTATGCTGTAAACAGGCAAAAATATCACATCTAGGCTGTAAACAGGCATAAATATCGCATCTAGGCTGTAAACAGACACACATATCACATCTAGGCTGTAAACAGGCATAAATATCACATCTAGGCTGTAAACAGTCCTAAATATCGCATCTAGGCTGTAAACAGGCACACATATCACATCTAGGCTGTAAACAGGCATAAATATCATATCTAGGCTGTAAACAGTCCTAAATATCGCATCTAGGCTGTAAACAGGCACACATATCACATCTAGGCTGTAAACAGGCATAAATATCATATCTATTCTGTAAACAGGCACAATGCACTTAGGAACTATGAAGTAGAATATCTCCAATATGCCTAAATAAAGTTGGAAAATAACTGTTGGCTTATAATTCTTCCACTAGAGACCAGCTTAGTTTATGCAAAGAGATGGCTTGACATGCTTATATTGAAGAAGTCAGTCTCAGGTTCAAGCTTGAAACAAAAAATGAAGCTTGTGGGGAGAGTTTTCATAAGAAAAAATCAAGGTGTAATGTATCCAGTTCAGTTCTTCTGAACTATACCTGGGTTATATATAGAGAGTGTGGTGCTTTTCTGGATAACTCAGTTACAAGCAGGGTCTGGGTTGAATCCCTAGCAGTTTACAGTTTCTCTTGTCAAGCAGAATGGCTTGTGAGATTGATGCAGGCTCATTGTCAGAACTTTCTGGAATGAACATGAGGTGAGGAGCACTAGCCAGCTGACCGACATCATCTGCCACCAGACAAGCACGTCTGCTTTGTTTATTTGTGTCTGTACGATCTGTGTAATGGCTTCAGCCTCCTGTATCACAAAATCTGTTGATGATATGTCACAGGTACAGTCAAGGCTTTGGAGTCATGCATTTGTTCTTTGGAAAAAACCACATGCTCAACTCAAGAAACTGCAACATTGGCTTGGTTGTCTTCATTGTTCACATCATAATTTGTAAGTACTTTTGTTGTACACAGTGGTGATGTTTTGAAGGGCTGTCAAATATATTTTGTTTGTTTTAGAGGTCGTGTCCTACTACTAGGTGCTCCACACAATGGTGTATTGACCTCTAGATATGGAGATTAGCTGAAGCTGTTTGTGTGTGTGTGTTTCTTTTGGTAGTAAATCGTTCAGGAGGCTTATCCACAGTAAAGTGTTGTCTGCATTGGATCTCAACACTTTTTGAGATTACTGTTTGTCAATCTCTTGGTTCTCTGTTGAATTAATGGCCATGGACTAATACCGTTGGCAGTCTTGAACAGAAAGTTGGTTGGTGGGCATCTGTCTTTGTGAATTACCTCAAAACTCTGTGACAGGTTAACAGGGGGTTTACACATAACCACTACTGTCTTGTCATCTCTTTAGATTAAGGCTAGCCAGGTTATTCTGCAAATTAGAACAATCGTGGAGTTCCATTTTTGTACATCAGTAGTGTATTACGATTCAACAGTTCATCTAGTTTCAGAGTAACAGTGTCAGGTCATCGTCTAAGATGATGAATCCTGCCATTACTGTATTTCACAAGCATGTGCACACATACCTTGTATGTGTGTGCCTGTGTGAGAGAAAGATATGGTAAGTTAAAAAAAAAAACCATTTCTGTAATTTACTATTATTTTTATTCCACATGCAGGCATCTTGCTGCCAGGTCCTATAGCCTCAACCATCATGTACTGCAGTGCATTTGTTTGTGTCATGGGAAGCATCTACCTTGCTTTTATCCTGTTATTTGTACTCAAGGACGTGTGTTTGGTCTGCTTTGCAACATACGTCATTAACGGCTGCCTGCTGTATCTGACACACAGCATGTACCAATTCTACCATGCATAGAGAGGACAGCGAACACAAGTGCATTACACAACCCACAGGAAGTCCAGTTCTTGTTCCTGCTGTCATGAAAAAACCACTGGTTATGTTTACATTTAAAAAAAAAAATTATTATTGTACATAAAATGGTGTATGTTCGTACTGTGACTAATAAATGCTGTTCGAGTGAGTAAAATGGTCTGTTTCTGTCGACACATGTTTTGTTTATGAAGGCTTTGTGGCTGTCTCGTAAAGGCTTGTGTAAACTTTGCTTTGATGTTGGTCATGTTTCCCCCCGACTGATGTGTGTGGTTGTGGTGTGTGTATGTGAGAGAAGAGAGAGAGAGACCTGACAGGTCTACATATTATGTTACATGCCACAGAGACAAGTTGTTCCTTAAATGTAACATAAGTGGCCCCTTTTTTAATGTCATTGGCACATCCAACACATGGTGCTAGACCCATGTTTGAAAATACATTATTTTAAAACAACATATTTTAGCTGAAAGATGCAGGTAAACAAGCAAGAGGTAGGCAGTTATACAAATGGTAGTTTGAGAGAGTGTACAACTAGGATGAGAGAGAGTGTTGAGAGATTTATTGTAGCTAATCTTCATTGTGATGTGATTATTAACAGCGCAAAACAGTGTTTTACTTTTTTTCTTGAGATTTCTGCAAGTGTTTTCATCATATCAAGTACAGCACAGAGAGGCAAAGAAACTGATTCTACATTAACACAAAGCCTGCTGTGGTTTCATTCATCACATTTTTATTTTTACACAGCAAACCTGAATATAAATAAATTATATCTGTAATCACATGCTATATAGAGCCAGTTTTAACCTACGGCAGTGAAGAGTGAACAATTAATAAACAAGCTGAACAATATCTTGAGGCCTCAGAGATGTAGTTTTATTCAAATCCTTAGAATTCTTTGCACAGCTAAGAAAAGCAACCCAGATTTTGAAAGAGACGAGCGCTTGAAGACAAACACAGACATCAGCAGGAGATAGTCGTCATTTTGTGGTCATGTTATGAGTAGAGGGAAAATAGCACATGTGACCACTGGAAAGCTCTGCGGAAAGAGACAAGAGGAAGACAGCATGAGAAGATTCTGACAAATCTTTTGTCATGGCATGGAGGGGTGTCAACACACAAACTGATAAAGGCTGTTGCAGATCACAGATTGTGGATAGGCATGATTGCCCACACCAGTTTGCAAGGCACTTGATGATGATAAATCCCTTGGTGGTTAACACATGGACTTCACCACTTGCTATACTGCAATGACCAAACATGAACTAACTGAGCCAAGATGTTACACAAAGTACACTGCCCAGCCAAAAAAAAGTCATATGTTGACCAACAAAAGCTAGGGTAGATCAGACATGACTTGAGTATGGCAGAGATAAGTATGAAATAAAGCACACGTATACAAGATACTGGAGTTTAAGCATGAGTATAACAGAGAGAGAAGTATAAAATAGAGCATACATACAAAATACTATAGATCAGGCATCATTTGGGTATGACACAGATAAACATGAAACAGAGCACACAAGTTTAAAAAATCAGTAACATAAGATATTATAGGCAGGGGAGTATAAGAATGACTAACCATCGTTCCCCGTGTGGGTTCCAGGGCCCCATTGTGGGAAAAACAAAAATAGACCCACTGCCTACCCAAAAGCATGTTGTAAGAGTCGACTAATTGGGGAACTTCCTTTGAAGTCGGAGTACATCTGCCTGAAGGGCAAGAAACCAACAGTCTGCATTCAAGTGAATCAGGTCTGTAAAACTGATGCACATGCAATACTCAAGTTCTGGAGCAGGACTGCAGTTCAGAAGTGGACGTACAACCAGAACTTTCCGCCAGAGTTTACAGCTGGTGAACGCGAAGAAGAAGACTAACCATCATAAGGTTTCATATCAAGCCAAACAATGCTGGTGGGATATATAGTGTTATGCCTTCACATAGAGAGAGCCTGGTATGTGGGTTGGGTGAGTGACCAGTTTACCATTGCCGGACTAAGTCTGGGTCGCCCCTAGGTCTGTAAGAGTCTACAGAAAAAAAAAACACCTTGTCACTGTTGGGAATAATTCTCACACCACTGTTTTGGCAGGCAGGCAGGCAAAATAACAACAGCATCTCTGTGGCTCTTTAAGAAAACTTATCTACAATAAGTACAGCCACAAGAATACTTGACACTTTCTGTGAAATAATTTTGCATCATATATGAACACATTCTCTTCATAATAAACGATTGGGGGGGGGGGGGGGGGGGGGGGGGCTGAAAATATTTCATTATAATCACTTTGATTTTATTGAAATATAATCCATCTGACAAATTATTTACATCAGCTTAGAAAAAACAACAAAAACACAGTATATACAATGGCCAGTAGTCTGCTGTACTATATGGGCACATAACTCTTTCTGCAGAGAGAGACGAAGCCAAATAGGAAAACACTCAGTGCAATCCTTTCCTCTTTAAACAGTTCTTCTACAGTTGACAGGTGGGAACTCACATGGGTTCATAGATAACCATCTTGTGTTTGTCCCTGTCTAGACAGCTCAATGTAAACTGAACCTTTTCCATGCCCTTAGACAAATTGTGTATAAAGTACTTAGATCTATATTTTACTGATTAATCTTCTTCTTCGCGTTCACCAGCTGTACACTCTGGCGGAAAGTTCTGGTCGCTCGTCCACTACTGAACTGCAGTCCTGCTCCAGAACCTGAGTGTTGCGTGTGCATCAGTTTTACAGATCTCATTCTCTTGAATACAGACTGTTGGTTCCTTGCCTCTCCGGCAGATGCACTCCGACTTCAAAGGAAGCTCCCCAATTAGTCGACTCTTATGACATGCTTTTGGGGAGGCAGAGGGTCTATTCTTGTTTTCCCCGGAACCCACACGGGGGAATGATTAATCAGCCCTTGATGTTGTGGTCAACATCACGCCGGCCACCTTCACTTCCCAGAACACTTTCTGGTTACCCATTTTATATTAGGTCAACCTGGGAGGTCAGGGTCATTTGTGAAAACCCGACTCAATGCAGACCTTCAGTCCAGCGTCCAGCTGAGCCCAGATAGATCAATGTACCCTGTCTTATTTGTCAGGTCATATGACTTGAGATAAAAGCTGATACTGCTGAACACAGGCAGTAGCTCACAGGTCATATGACTTGAAATAAAAGCTGATACTGCTGAACACAGACAGTAGCTCAATGCTACAGACTGTCATTTATCATCCTTCCTACCCACTGAGTTATCAACCTGAACATAGTTTCAGAAAGCAGCAATCAATATGAGTGTGTTATCTCCATGGAGTTTGTCCTCAAATATAATTTTCTCAAAGAATACCACTAGTTCACTTTTGTTACGTTGTTAGCAAGCATTATCTTTCTGGTGGTCTGGATGATCTGATTCCTACTTATTTCTTTAAGCACTTCTAATAATCCTCTTGGCCTCATTGTAAATTATGTCTACAACAAGCTGAGGTAGGGATTAGCCTTCCACATTGCGTGTTTGTTAACGTCTCCATCTCCAGGTCTTTCAGAAATCAGATCATGGTATTTTTTCTTCTTCTTTGTTCACCGGCTGTAAGCTCCAGTGGAAGGTCCTAGTTGTTCATTTATTTGGACTTTGGCTTTGTGCCAGGGCCTGAGTTTTGCATGTACATCCGCTTTACTAGCTTATTTTGTGTGTGTGCAGTTAGTTGTTCCTTGCCACTCTATAGATGCACTCCGATTTAGAAGGAAGTCCCCATTTAGTCGACTCCTATGACATGCTTGCTAGGAAGACAATGGTTAAATTCTTGTTTTCCCCTCAATGGAGCTTCGGAACCAATATAAGGAATCATGGTACAAAGAGGTGCGGAAACCAGTTTTTTAAAATGATTCTAGAAAAGCAATTATGTATGCATTTAACCACTTGGTTTCAAACCAGCTCCTGTACCTATGCCAACCAGCTGATTTGTACAACTTGTAGACTTGCAGGGTCCAGCTACACCATTTCTGGCCACAAGCAATGTATACACCTGTTCCTGCCCACTCTTGCCACAAGCTATGTTTACAGCTACACCGTTCCTGCCCACTCTTGCCACAAGCTATGTTTACAGCTACACCGTTCCTGCCCACTCTTGCCACAAGCGATGTATACAGCTACACCGTTCCTGCCCACTCTTGCCACAAGCAATGTATACAGCTACACCGTTCCTGCCCACTCTTGCCACAAGCGATGTATACAGCTACACCATTCCTGCCCACTCTTGCCACAAGCGATGTATACAGCTACACCATTCCTGCCCACTCTTGCCACAAGCAATGTATACAGCTACACCATTCCTGCCCACTCTGGCCACAAGCGATGTTTACATGCTGCCATCGTAACTGACATGCATGGGACTCTGCAGGGCCAGCTCTCGTTCCAATGCCTCCAGGTCAGCCTGGCTGATATTTTCACTGATGTCCAACCAGTCTGCCAGAAGTGATGACGACAGTGGGCTCTGCTCCGCTCGAACACTGCAGAGGAATATAAACTATTAGTTCTATTAGTAAAATAAACTAGTTCTTCTCCTTCTTCTTTGCGTTCACCAGCTGTAAACTCTGGCGGAAAGTTCTGGTTGTTCGTCCACTTCTGGACTGCAGTCCTGTTCCAGAACCTGAGTGTTGCGTCTGTATCCGTTTGACAAATCTAACACATTTGTGTGCAGACTGTTGGTTCCCCGCCTCTCAGGCAGATGCACTCTTGACTTCGAAGAAAGCTCCCAATCAGTCGACTCTTACGACATGCTTTTTGTGTAGGCAGGGGGTCTATTCTTGTTTTCCCTATAATAGGGCCCCGTAACCCACACAGGGAACAAGAATAAACTAGTAATTATAAAGTAGGAATTTAAAATTACTGTTGCAAAATAAAATCCAAAGAGCTTCTTTTGGAAAGGCTAGAAAAATGCCAGAAAATGTTTGACGTGTCAGCCAAAAGGCTTAAGAGATATGCATAACCTGACATGGCACACTCCCCTGTAAAATGGCTGAAATAAAGAACCATCTTGTAAAGAGAAAAGAAGCAGTTTGCAGTATTAAAAAACACAACTTTGCAGATGCCTCCCCCCCCCCCCCACCCTCAAAGTATCACTTTGCAGAGGTTTAAAAAAACCACCCTGCAAAAATTAGAACAAAAAAACCACCTTGCAGAGGTTAAACAGGAGAACCACCTTGCAGAGCTTAAACAAGTGAACCACTTCATCAACGTAAAGGGGTCTGTGTGCTTCAATGAACTTAAAAACTATGCCAACAGTAACTCAGCTCCTGGTATGGTCACAGAGGAAGCAAAGAAAAATATAAACTGGTGGCAGCCAAGGTTAGGGAATGCAAGCTTGTTGAAAGTGGGTATGCTGAGCTACAGGCTTGATGGAACAGTGCAGCGTAACTCGCTTCATGATCTCACATGTACCATTTCTCTATACCACACTAGCAACTACCAACATTGAAACACCACCAACATCGAATGTTGCTCACCCCATATTTTATCTGTTACCATAACTTGTAGCTTACCCCATTTCCTATCTGTTACCATCACTTGTAGCTCACCCCATTTCCTATCTGTTACCATAACTTGTAGCTCACCCCATGTCCTATCTGTTACCATCACATGTAGCTTCCCCTATGTTCTATCTGTTACCATCACATGTAGCTCCCCCCATGTCCTATCTGTTAAAATCACATGTAGCTCACCCCACATCCTATCTGTTACCATCACATGTAGCTCCCCCCATGTCCTATCTGTTACCATCACATGTAGCTCCCCCCATGTCCTATCTGTTACCATCACATGTAGCTTCCCCCATGTCCTATCTGTTACCATCATATGTAGCTCCCCCCATGTTCTATATGTTACCATCACATGTAGGCCCCCCCCCCCCCCCCATGTTCTATCTGTTACCATCACATGTAGCTTCCCCCATGTCCTATCTGTTACCATCATATGAAGTTCCCCCCATGTTCTATATGTTACCATCACATGTAGCTCCCCCCATGTCCTATCTGTTAACATCATATGTAGCTTTCCCCATGTCCTATCTGTCACCATCACATGTAGCTCCCCCCATGTCCTATCTGTTAACATCACATGTAGCTTTCCCCATGTCCTATCTGTTACCATCACATGTAGCTCCCCCCCCCCATGTCCTATCTGTTACCATCACATGTAGCTCCCCCCATGTCCTATCTGTTACCATCACATGTAGCTCCCCCCATGTCCTATGTGTTGCCATCACATGTAGCTTTCCCCATGTCCTATCTGTTTACCATCACATGTAGCTCCCCCCCCCCCCCCCATGTCCTATCTGTTACCATCACATGTAGCTTCCCCCATGTCCTGTCTGTTACCATCACATGTAGCTCCCCCCATGTTCTATATGTTACCATCACATGTAGCTCCCCCCATGTCCTATCTGTTAACATCATATGTAGCTCACCCCATGTCCTATCTGTTACCATCACATGTAGCTCCCCCCATGTCCTATCTGTTACCATCACATGTAGCTCCCCCCATGTCCTATGTGTTGCCATCACATGTAGCTTTCCCCATGTCCTATCTGTTACCATCACATGTAGCTCCCCCCCCCCCCCATGTCCTATGTGTTGCCATCACATGTAGCTTCCCCCATGTCCTGTCTGTTACGATCACATGTAGCTCCCCCCATGTTCTATATGTTACCATCACATGTAGCTCCCCCCATGTTCTATATGTTACCATCACATGTAGCTTCCCCCATGTCCTATCTGTTAACATCACATGTAGCTCCCCCCATGTCCTATATGTTACCATCACATGTAGCTCCCCCCATGTCCTATCTGTTAACATCACATGTAGCTCCCCCCATGTTCTATATGTTACCATCACATGTAGCTCCCCCCATGTTCTATATGTTACCATCACATGTAGCTCCCCCCATGTCCTATCTGTTACCATCACATGTAGCTCCCCCCATGTCCTATCTGTTAACATCACATGTAGCTCCCCCCATGTCCTATCTGTTAACATCACATGTAGCTCCCCCCATGTCCTGTCTGTTACCATCACATGTAGCTCCCCCCATGTCCTGTCTGTTACCATCACATGTAGCTCCCCCCATGTCCTGTCTGTTACCATCACATGTAGCTCCCCCCATGTCCTATCTGTTAACATCACATGTAGCTCCCCCCATGTCCTGTCTGTTACCATCACATGTAGCTCCCCCCATGTTCTATATGTTACCATCACATGTAGCTCCCCCCATGTTCTATATGTTACCATCACATGTAGCTCCCCCCATGTCCTATCTGTTAACATCACATGTAGCTCACCCCATGTCCTATCTGTTTCCATCACATGTAGCTTCCCCCATGTCCTATCTGTTACCATCACATGTAGCTCATGGCATGTCCTCCCAATCTTATTCACCTGTCTCCCTTTTCTCTTTGGGCCTGTAGGTTCCAGTTATGTTAAAATCTAATCTTCTCAACATCTATACCACCTAGTGCCAAAGATTCTTCTCCTCTCCTCTTGATTAAACTGACAACAGTTCACAGTTCAGTAGTAGTACTGGCTATTATCCTATCCCAGGGGTCAGCAAATCGCGGCTTGTGACCTGAGTGCAGCATGACCAGTCGCCACAAATCGGTTTGAATCGTCCAGCTGCTGATTTTTTTTTTTTATATACTAATGAGTTTGCGGACCAGTGTCCTATCCCATGTGACCGACAGTATCAACAGCAGTGTTGCCATGGAGCTGTTGTTCTGATGCTTCTGTGATAGTGCAGGACTAACTCGCTGCCTAGGAGAATAAGGAAACAACCCAGACTGGACACAGCATTCTCTTACAAACAACATCAAGAATCTTCTTCTTCTTTTTCGCGTTCACCAGCTGTAAACTCTGGCAGAAAGTTCTGGCTGTTTATCCACTTTTGGACTGCAGTGCTGTTCCAGAACCTGAGTGTTGCGTCTGTATCCGTTTTACAGATCTGACTCATTTGAATACAGACTGCTGGTTCCTTGTCTCTCTGGCAGATGCACTCGGACTTCAAAAGAAGCTCCCAGTCGACTTTTACGCCATGCTTTTGGGTAAGCAGTGTGTCTATTCTTGTTTTCCCTATAACCCACACGGGGAAAACATCAACAATGATAACAATGAACAAATAAAGGGAAGAGAACAGACCCTGCATTATCTTGAGCATCAGTTAACATAGCATCCAAATCCATCCCAACACCATAGCCAGCTCCGGTGCCTCGAGGTGTCAGAGCCAGTGACGGCACTGCATCCATCATGTGCTGCTTGGAAAGCTGTTTGCTCAATAGTGTTATGAGTTCAGCATTTGCATCAGAGAGCCTAGGGTGACTACTACAGTTGACCGTCAGTCTGGGGCTCGGATGCAATGTTTCTGATCAAGAGACAAACAAGTTATAACAAGAAATTACTGATTACTGCCACTAAGATGTTACAATGAGAATAATTATGAATGTGTTAGTCAGAGATTTCATGGCAACATGACAGCTAACATGTTATATCAATAATGGGGGTATGCTGTGGGGATGGTCCAAATCTTCTTCTTCTTCTTCACGTTCACCAGCTGTAAACTCTGGCGGAAGGTTCTGGTTGCTCGTCCACTACTGAACTGCAGTCCTGCTCCAGAACCTGAGTTTTGCGTGTGCATCAGTTTTACAGATCTCATTCTCTTGAATACAGACTGTTGGTTCCTTGCCTCTCCGGCAGATGCACTCCGACTTCAAAGGAAGCTTCCTAATTAGTCGACTCTTACGACATGCTTTTGGGGAGGCAGTGGGTCTATTCTTGTTTTCCCCACAATGGGGCCCCGGAACCCACACGGGAGGGGATGGTCCAAATGTGTTTAGAAGTCAAGTAGAGAGTCTCTAGAGGGAAAAGTCAACACAGTAACTGCAACATTAAGTCAACACAGTAACTGCAGCATAAAGTCAACACAGTAACTGCAGCATAAAGTCAACACAGTAACTGCAGCATAAAGTCAACACAGTAACTGCAGCATAAAGTCAACACAGTAACTGCAGCATAAAGTCAACACAGTAACTGTGCATAAAGTCAACACAGTAACTGTGCATAAAGTCAACATAGTAAGTGTGGGGCTTCCATTGAAGTCAGACTGCATCTGCTTGAGAGGCAAGGAACCAACAGTCAGGCTTGGGAACAGATGGAATCCAGACCTGTTCCCGCCTGGCAGTAGTCCACAGGAGCAGCCCCATGACGGTGTAGGTATCTAAGCATACTCATTAACCGTAGATTTCGTTAAAGTCTGTTGCCATTTCTGGGTGCCCACGCCATTCAGACCGACATGTCTGTCTTCGGTGGGGGGAGTTATGGAGCCTCCTTATGATCTTGGTGGGGATCAAGATATGTCCACGCGCCAGTTGGCCCAGCATCGGCTGCATCTAACAGGGGGTTACACTCCGCCGAGGGGTTTTGTCTGGCTTATCCAAGCCATAGCCTGGTATTTTACCCCTTCAGGCATCAGGGGGTCAATTTTGTTAGTGATGGAGACTCGCTATGCACCAGAGCCGTGTCAGTTACAATAGTCAGCAACATATGTAGGTATGGTTGACTTGATTGGCAGAGGCTATGAGTTTTGCGCAGGAATTTCCCATTTTTTAGGTTGGACCTGTACATACCAGTCCTTGCTACCCATATCAGGCATATAGGGCTAGACCTATATTTTATAGACCGATCAGCACTCAGTGGGTGATGCTGTCAAAATCATAACAAGGTCATCTAATCAACAATACTAGACATTCAAACAGTCATCTAATCATCAATACTAGACATTCAAACAGACATCTAATCAACAATACTAGACTTTCAAACAGTTGAAGTAATACACACACCAGTGTAACCGGCACTATACAAATAAACAGTTTTAACAGGAAGGCACAATTGTTTTCAGCTATTGTAGCGCACATGATGTGTGACAAGAACATGTCCCTACCATATGTAGCAGATGTAAAAGTGAATGTGTGCTCACCTTGTGTTGACTGGCCAGGCATGATGTTGGCACTCTGTTGCAGCAAAGATGTGAAAGATCCAGATCTCCCTGCACTTGTCTGTGAATGCAAACTGGCAACAGGAGGGATGGCTTCAGGAATGTGTTGTGTGACAATATGGCTGCTTGCCGCACCGACGTAACTTGCTGTTTGGAAACTTTGATTTGAGGAGAAATCAGACTGCTGAGATTGTGATTTGGAGAATTCTGAAAAGCTGTGATGATACTGCATGGAAGATGATCCTGAGGTTCCACAGGATGAGAAGCTACTAAATTCATTATAAGATAATGCGTTTGGAAAAACCTCACTACAAAGTTGCTGATGTTGTAGTGGAAGTGGAAAGTCTGGGGTATTCTGAAAAAGCATATTTGAGTGATGAATCTGGGAGTCATAGTTAATGATATCTGCAGTTGGTGAGAACTTGGGATAGCTGTTCTCAGAAGCAAAACTGGGTTCAAAACTGGTTGTAGTGTTTGTCTGAGGGAAGTTTTCAGATTGATTATCTTGTGCAGTTTGGAAATTTGTAGCAAAGTCACTGTGAACAGGAAAGTTGGAGAACGACTGAACTCCACAAGAGATCACTGGTACTGAAGACCTGTGCTGAAGTTCCTGCTGCTTATTTTGTAAGTTTGGTGAATGTGAGTTTTGTCTCAAGAGGCTCGGTGTGGAGTTGGACCTGGCTATTTGCTCTTGAGAGGTACATGTCTGTGGGTAGCTGGTGAATGGTAGAGCTGGTGTCAAGCTATGCTGCTGCCTGCCTTCCGGTGAGGAGCCATTTAGCATAAATCCATTTTGCTGATGAATAACCGGGTTCTGGTCGACATATATGTTCTGCATTGTGGTACTTCCTGTTTCCTGAATATGTTTATCTCTACAAGAGTCTTTGAGGTGATGATTGAGAAAATCAAGCAGGTCGTTTCCCTGACTGCGAGGTGACAGCTGGTCATCTTTGGTGACAGATGTTTCAGATTTCAGTGAATCTTCAGTGCAAACTAGTGAGGTTGAAAACTGATTGTGACTAACACTGATCTGAACTCCTGTTTTATCACCAATAACTGTACTGTTCACCCTGGGAAAACTGATTTGGGTAGGTAACTCAGGACTGACATTTTCTGTCTGAACACCATCAGGGACCGGGTCTTTCTCTCTAACACTATGGGTGTTTAAAGTGTGTGTATCTGTGTGAAACGTGCCTCCAGTATGTACAAAAGTGTGTGAACAATCTGATGTCTGCAGCGATGAAGGCACAGTGGTGACAGGTATTTGTGCTGACTGAAATATTCTTTTGATCTCCAGCTGACCTGGGTTGACCGAAGAGGGTATGGCAATAACTGGAATAAAATTTGCTTGGGATAACGCCAGCTGGGTGGATGAAAACAGAACAGTTCCGCCGATGCCCATCCTGCTTGGAGTAACGTTGACTGCCGAGCCCAGTGTCACTGTGGAAGTGACTGCAGTTCTGGCCAATATCTGCCGGGGTTTGCTGGCGGTGGAGTGTAAATAAGTACTGCCTGCAATATGCTGTGAGCTGATGCTACCTTCATGTTTTTGGGCGCAGCAGCTGTTCACAGAGCTCCTCATAGAGCCACTCTTTGCAGCCGTGTCTGTTGCCTGAGGTGGTGACACTGCAGGGCCAGGGTGAGGAGGACTCTGTGAAATAGTTTCACTTTTGCCAGGTTTCTGCATGCCTGTCCATCGTATCAGCAACTCCATGTCCTGACTCGACAAGGCTAAAGATGATGGCTCTGCATAAAATATCAAGACATAATGAAGAAGGCATGAACTGATGTGAAATACTTATAACTTTAAGCTACTTTCTTCAGTAACGCTATGCCAGAATGCTACGAAAAACTGAAGAAAGTGCTAATTTAACTGAAGGATCTAGAAACCACTAACATCCGTTACTGTTTACTGATTTGTTTTAAAAAATGTGATCAAACTCAATGACAGCATTTCATTTGCACATTAAGGAGAGGATACAGTAAATGTGGTCTAAAAGAGATGATATATGTGGCAGAATATTCACAAATTAGGCTACAGTTGGTCAGGAAAGCAAGATAAAATGGCCAGTGTAACTGATCTCTCACAGGCTGACAAGACAAGCATCCAAACAAGTCTGTAAAATAACAGATGACATGTGCTGACCCCTGAAGATAATCTTCTATGGGCAGCTTGACTCAGGTAAGTAAGCTCACAAGTGAACAAGAGATATAAAAACATACAAAAAGCCTCAATAAAGAACAGAGGCATAATCTGGCAAAACTGGGAGAAAGACATTTTTGCTGATCATTCTCACTGGCATTGAGAAAATTCAGGATTGAGAAAGCTGCGTGGAGTCTAATATTAAAATAAAAATTCAAGTTATCTTCATGTGACCAACAGACAATATTTGTTGGCTCCCAATGTCTCAAGGCTCTGACTGATCAAACTGGCCAGATTTGAACCCATTCTAGGACTGACAGATGACAGTATGGTTGCTTTCAGCAACCAAGGATGAACATAAACACCACAGACATAATAACCAGTGCAATTCTAACAGGTCACTTGTCTGAGTACACAATGACATTATATAACTAGTTTCTAAATGACATTGTCCCGTCAATGCCAAATTTACTCATTCAATATTAGAAAACACAGATATGACACAATGTTACAATATACAAAATAAAAGTGTTTTTGGCTTTAGATTCTTAGAATACCATGGGTCAAGAAGATGAAAATCATCTACAACCATGATCAGAACATTGAGATGACATCTACATCCATCATCAGAACATTGAGATGACATCTACATCCATGATCAGAACATTGAGATGACATCTACATCCATGATCAGAACATTGAGGTGACTTGGCTCATAAACAGCATCGTGTCCTGAAAGCTGAGTTATTTTGGCCATGTTAAACATCATGGGGACCTAGGGGAAAAAATGGTGATGGAAGGTACAGTTTCCAGAAAAGAAGGCAAAGGCTGACCTTCATGCAGGTGGATACAAGACACTGAAGATGCACTGGCTATGAAAGCATTTACAGCTGAAGAACCGGCTTGAGACAGAGACTTTCGGGCATGCCGTGAAGACAGCAATGTTCTGTAAAGAACCTGCTAACTGATAAAGATTCTCCGTGTGGGTTCTGGGGCCCTATTATAGGGAAAAAAGAGAATAGATCCACTGCCTACCCAAAAGCATGTCGTAGGAGTTGACTAATTGTGAGCTTCCTTCAAAGTCAGAGTGCATCTGCCCGAGAGGCAAGGAACCAGCACAGATGTGTCAGATCTGTAAAACAGATGCACACGTAACACTCAGGTTCTGGAAAAGGACTGCAGTCCAAAAGTGGATAAACAACCAGAACTTCAACCAGAGTTTACAGCTGGTGAACACGAAGAAGAAGAACAGATTAAGATGATCTGGTTCAACTTAAAGCAAGGGTCTAGAAAGCTGTTTAGAAAACACTGGCATTCAGAAATAATAATGGACTCCAAGCACGTAAAACATTTGTTAATTTGTTGTTACATTTGTATAATGGCACAGCAAAGTTAGTATGTATTGTATTATTTAATCATATCTTACGTTTTTTCTCTTTTGATTTCTTCACTTTCTCCAATGCTCTTTCTTTCTTTTTCCTTCGCCTCTCCTCTCGTTCCCTCTGCCTTTGTGCAGCTGTCACTGGTTTGGGATCCTTACAATCATCTCCCTGTGATTCTGGACATAATACAAATATAAATTTAAAACCTAAAAGTGATATATTACAACATAAATTTATTCAATTATTGCAATATGGTGTTTTAAAGTCAACTACATGAGAATGTGGCTATGCGGCTTAGATGTTAGTCTAAATGTTTCACAGTCCTCTTTGTACCAGGGTTCCATTTCAGCAGTTGTAGTAGTAGAAGATACTCCATTATGGAGATGGCAAGGAAGAGAGTTAGGCTGTATCAGATATTTCTAAAGATACTCCATTATGGAGATGGCACAAAGACAACTACATGGGGAGACTGACAGACTTGCAGACACAGGAGGCACTAAACACCAAATAGTTATCTTGCAGTATGAGAACAGACTTGGACAATACAGGTAGGGAATCTCTCTGGAAATTGATGAGGCACTATGGCAGGGCTATTCAACAAAGTTTACTCTGGGGTCAATATTTGGGAAATGGGGATGGTCACGGGCCGGATGCTTAGTCCCAACATAGAAAGAGTGTTAATGCAATACAACTGGCAGGTGATCTGCGGGCCACTTGTAAGGCCTTCGCAAGCCAGTTTTGGCCTGCAGGCTGCCATTTGAATAGCCCTGCACTATGGGATCCCACAAAAAGTTATTAACTTAGTAAAGGCAACATATAAAAACAAGAAATGTTGAGCCTTCATGGAAGACAACTAACAGATACATATGACAAAATAAAAACAGGTGTGTGATAGTGGTGTCATCTGTTCCTCTACTATTTTACTGGCAATAGACTGGGACTATGGAGACAGCAACAGTTATAATTAGAAATGGAATTCTTGGTCTCTTTCTTAACATTCACCAGTGTAAACTCTGGTGCAAAGTTCTGGTTGTTCATCCACTTCTGTTTTACTGACTTATTTGTATGCAGATTGTTGGTTCCTCATCTCTCAGGAAAATGCACTCCAACTTCGAAGGAAGTCATCATTTACAAAATGCTTACTAGGGGGCAATGGGGCTATTCTCCCCCCCCCCCCCCCAAGACATGGGCCCTCGGAACCCACATGGGTAGGAATGGAATTCAGTGGACCCCTACAAAATAGCTCTGGGTGTCACTGATGATGTCACTTACCCGCACAAGCTGATGCCAGACAAATTAATAGACTGACTACAGAGCCCATTAACCCTTGCACTTTCCCAGATACCACACATTTCTAGTACATACTAAAAATGCCATAGGTTCAAAAAATATTTAACATAAACTCATAATTTTGTATTTCTGTACCTAACCGAATGAACTACAAATGTCAAGAACAATAACTGCGTAATCTTCTTTTACATCATCATATGGCTGTAGATTCGTGTAAATAAAGGAAATCAAAAAATCTATCTGACACCAATATCAATTATTTTCCCCTGAAACAAACATGGATGAAAGCTCTGCCTAACTGTGAAGTAAAATTCTGCAAATTCAGTGGCTGTTTGCCATTTTGCTTGAAGAATTTATGATGCATTATGATTGAACTTAAATGCTTATGTCACTAACTACATGAATCTCTCACCTGCCCGCTGCCTTCTCTGGGTTGCATTCATCAGTGCCTGTTTAACCAAGGCTTTTGTGTCTTCAGAAATTGTGTTCCCTCCTTTTTTGTCCATGGGAATCTTTGACTCTGTTTCTACAAACATTTTCTGATCTGCCTCTTTCAGTTGTTTATCCACAGCCGGAGCTTCTGTATGTAAAGTGTCTATGGCTCTCCCATCAGATGACTGTGCACTGAGCATCTCAATGTCACATGATGGGACCAGCCGTAGTTTGCCAACATCTACAGAGACAGGCGATATTTTGCTGGATGGCTTGCTGTCAGCATTGCCTGGCGTTTTGACTTCTGTCACCGACTCTTTCTGAGTGTTCTCTGAAATAATAATAAAGTAAGTGAGCACAATATCAGCAACAAATTATATCAAAAATCAGTGAGTCAGGTGGTTTGGTCATGTGGCAAAACTATTGCCAAATAAGCCTACTATAAACAGCACTGAAAATGATGTGGATATATCATCAAGAAACAGAACATCAGAAATAAACACAATCCTTGTAAGAAGCCCATTCAAAGGTCTTGCCAGAAAATACTTCATTTTCGGACACTGATGGTTATACCATGGAAAGTGAAAATATAAAGAAAACTCAAATGTCCGAATGTTCAAATATTCAAGCAATATTCAAGTCTGTTTAGACAAGAATGCTCAAGAGAAGTTAATATTGGGTACATAAAAATAAAGACCAACAAACAAAGTTAAAGCCCAAGCATAAATATCAGCATACCCATCTCTGTCGTCATCTGTTTGGATAATAATTCGTGTTCTGAAACTTTCTCCATTTTCAATTCCTTAGTGACTGTCTCTTCAGACTTGGGTGCAGGTCGAAGAAATGCATTAAAGCTTAAAGGCTGTTGTTTAGGTTGATGAAAGCTCATAATTTCTTCCATGATAGCTGATCGGAGGCAGTTCTTGTCCATGTCCTGCAAGAAAAGTGACAGCAAATTAATAAAATCTTAGAGAACACAATGCAAAATACAAATCAATGTTGTTTTTATAAATCCTTACATTCTGACCAATGAACACATCTTGTGCTTATCTACAAACATGTTAGAATCCCTTTGGCTTCCAATTTTACTGCTTACCAGAGTAAAAATGCCAACTCGACACTTCAATAGGCCCTTTTGTTTCTTTGTGTTTTAATAACACTTGTGTAGTGCATCTGCCGGGAGCTAGCTGAGTGGTTAGAATGCTCGGCTCCTATGCAAATTACCAGGGTTCAAATCCTTGGTAAAGTGATGGAGTCTTTATCTGTGAGAGGCATAATTTAGCAAATATCCTAACCTGCAGTGTGTTGTGACTTCATCAGCCATGGGGCCCTCAGGCCAAGACCGGCTCTAGCTGAGGGGCCATGCTGTTGATGTCACCAAACAGGGCTAAGGATACATTAACGCAGTGTTTCTTAAACGCCGCAGCACCCAGTTTGAGAATCGCTGCGTTAATGTATCGTTAGCCTGGTTTAGTGACATCAGCAGCATGGCCCGTCAGCTGAAGCCGGTCTTGCTCAGGTCAAGACTCTATGTCCTATAGGTGGTTCACACAGGCAGTAACTATACAGTTTTTTTTTATTCTACAACCACTACTACTGGTTTACCTTCATGTGTATTTCATTTTGGATACATTCTATGACATAATTACAATGTAGTATGTTAGTAAATTTAAAAAAAAAAAAACTACATAAAAACACTACTTCACTTGGCTCTCTGAGCCTACCGCAACTTGTATGCCAGTATTTTACTATTAATACAATTTTTTGCTGTAGAAGTATCCCAATAATAATCTGCAACTATTTCCTATTCACTGTGACGTACATGTGTATGTTGCACAGCACCTACAGTTGTCTGATCTGTTTTAATGTGTTAAACTTGTGAAATTTATAAATGTCAAACTCTTTTCTTCTTTAGATGTCTTCACATGAATACGTAGTAAATATGGTCATGCAATTCAGGTATGTCTTACTCCAGAATACATAGATGGAAAGCAGAAGGTTTTTGTAGCCTAATTCAGTAACTTTTCATGCAATATCCATATCATCTATGCCAACATCTAAAAACTATAACGCAGGAAGCATACAGGGAAACAAGTTAATGTATAGCAGAAATATTCAGGCAACTTCCTTGGTAATCAACTGCGCTGTGCTTTTATTCTGGCACAGGTCATAAACAGATGCGTGCACCTGCGTTCTTCACCTGTGCCTCCAAAATGGCTTCTGTGGATCAAATACTGATTATCTGTATGAACAAACCTGGGCAACCATCTTGGATGTGTCAGGGTCAGGGTTAATGCCAAACAAAACCACTTTACACCTTTAAATGAATCAATCTGAGCAGAAACTATGCTGTATAAAGCCTGAAATGGCGAAAATATGGGGCTGCCTGCAGTCAAACTAGTACAAGGAATTCCAGAGAAATTTGACTAAAAAGTTCAACAAAATGGGGAAGCAGAAAAACGTGCACAAAACAACACAACGTAACGTTTCGGCAGGGCAGCCTTGCTCAAACATAAATGAACTACACAAACGTAACAACGAGGAGAGGAAACGTTTGTGTAGTTCACTTATGTTTGAAAAAGGCTGCCCGGCCGAAACGTTATGTTGTGTTGTTTTGTGCACTTTTTTTTCAGCTTCCCCATTTTGTTGAGCTTTTTAGTCAAATTTCTCTGGAATTCCTTGTATAAAGCCTGGAGGTTTCAGTCTGGTCCCCACTGGATAAAACCTGCAAAGGTCTACAAACTTTGTCTACCATAAGACTGCGAGAGTTGCAGCAATCTCCCAATTTGATGGTAGACAACCAGCTCCTGACTTGTACTCTCTGTTGGGACAGTTGCCAGAGATAACCTGATTAAAAGTATGTTTATCTTTCCCCCTGTACACTGAGTGTCATCCAGATCCTCCACTCACTCTCTGCTGAATCCATCTTGCCAGGAATGGTACTGTCTGTTCAGAGTTCTGTTGATTTCAGAGAACCTTCATGAATTCTCATAAAGTAGCTGGCCTTCCTGAGGAGACGCAGTTGCCGATCTATCAGTTTATTCAATGCCCCACATGATGAATATAAGCAACCTCATCTCTAATGCTGGAAGTTCTGTCATATGCTATGCTCTCTATGTCTTCTTCTTCTTCTTCTTTGTTAACCGGCTGTAAGCTCTAGTAGAAAGTCATGGCTGTTCGTCAGTTTGGCATTATGCCAGGGCCTAAGTTGGTTGTTTCTTGCCGCTCTGGCAGATGCACTACGACTTTCAAGGAAGTCCCCAATAAGTCGACTCCTACGAAATACTTGTTGGAGAGGCAGTGGGTCTATTCTTGTTTTCCCCACAATGGGGAACTGGAACGCACATGGAGAGCTCTCTCAAAAATATGTAGTCTCTCATCTTTGCAAACTCTACTAACTTTTTTACCTATACTTCAAAAGACACAAAATAATTAATGTGAAATTTGAATTAATGGAGTATATTAAAACAGAACTCTGACCTACCTCTTTTTCAAAATCAAAATTGAAAGGTGGTACACAGACCGGCTCGTCACTAGCATCATGGTAGTTGTTGAGCAGCCTGTGTGACAATGCCTGATCAACTGAGATACGATCTTCAGGATTAATGACCAGCATTTTGCTTACTAAGTCCAACGACTTTTTGCTGGCCTTAGGAAACAGTTTCTCCCAGGATACTGGCTCCTTCTTCCCAAAACCTGAGTTGTCAAAAACAAATGTTTTTACAAACTGTATTCTCAGAATTGAAATGGCTAGAATTAGAAATATAAAATCAGATTTGCTCTTTAGGCATCCCTTTCTATATTTGCCCTTAAAATAGTGGTTTGCATGGTGTGGTGGTTTACAGCTAGGCTGTGGTATCATCTTTCTTCCCAACACATCCACATGCTTAAACATTATGAATAAGAGTACTGTTACTGTGAGCATTCTTCTGTAAATCTGCTGTTTGGGCTTCATGCACTTTATATGTCCAGACAAATGCATTGGTTCCATGTAATGTGTAAGAATTCTTGTTCTACAGAAGTCAGACTCATAAATGTGAGGAAAAGACCAAATTCAAGGAGTGTTCATTTATAACCCATTTGTGCTGCACCACGCATAACTGCATGCACTGAACATAATCATGTCATAGGGATGTGATAAGTACAGACCAATTAGGAAAAGCGTACATGCTTAAAAATCCATCCAGAAAAGTTCAAACAGCAGTTATTCAGTTTCTTTCATTTGAAGGATGTCAACCAGAAAACATTCACGAAGATTGCAAGCAGCGTACGGTAAGAAATGTGTGTCGAAGACAAAAGTGACAGACTGGGCACAAATGTGTAGGAAATGATGTGAGTTCCAAAAGATCTTCTGCAGCTGAGTCAGGCACACTTATTGCAACAGAAAAAGTTTCCCATGGTAAGGTTATGTTAATGAATTTGTTTCTTTAAACCATAAAAGGCTATTGTTTGCAGACTTTGAAAAACCTGGGATCAACATCAATTCTACACACAACTTGGAAACACTTGATTAACTGCATAAAGTCATCAAGAATTATTTTTTCTTGTGGTGTGATTTAGTGCCTGACAATGCTAGTTTACACGTTGCAAAGATTGTACAAGAAGACCATTTAGCGTGGAAGAAGTTGGAATTTCCACAAAATCCAGCCTATAGTCCTGATATGTCAGCATGTGATTTTCATTTGTTCAGATCTCGTTAAAAATCTTTCAAGGGGCAACAATTTCACACTGATGCTGATGTAATGAACACAGTAAACACTTCCTCAATGATCAGCCACAATCCTTCTTTGTGGATGGCATTCATCTCTTACCTAAGTAATGGGATGATTGCCTGAACACCTAAGGTGACTTCTTCTGACCAACCCACATGCATAAGTTATTCAAAATGATGCTTTGTTAAATATGGCAGAGTCATGAAAATGTGGAAAGTGGAGCCCAAAGACTGAATGGAGACCTTAGAAAACTGCATGAGTACTGCCAAAGATGGAAACTTAAGGTTAACTGTGCAAAGACGGTCTACACAATCTTTACCAAAAGCCACCAGGTAGCAAGGAAGAATAATAACCTGAGGTTAGACAAACACCAAGTGATGAAAGAAGAGCATCCCACATACCTTGGAGTCACACTAGACCGGCAGCTCAGCCTCAAGAACCATATTGAAAACGTCAGGAATAAGGCATTGAGGTGGTTACAGTTATTAAAGAGACTTGCAGGTACATCATGGGGATCAGGCAAGGAAACTCTGAGGGGCTTATATTTAGGATATGTTCGCTCTGTGATAGAGTACAACAACTCACTGTTTACAACTTGCTCCAAAACTAACCTAGAGACTCTTGACAGAGTACAAAAAAAATGCCCTCCGATTAATCTGCGGAGCTATGCAGGCTACACCAACTGCTGCATGTGAAATCTATACAAATGTGGAACCCCTCGGGTTGCGGAGAGAAAAAGCCACTTTAGAAATTTATGAAAGATGCGTTAGAAAAAAATCGTAACCATCCTAATAGACATCTTGTAGAAAACTTGGAATACAAGCAAAGAATAAAGCACAAATCGGTTTTACACTGTGTTAATGAAATTCAGGACAGAGACCACCTCCCAGAAAGACGTCAAGGAATTCAGAATGTTGCAAGAAACCTATCACCACATGCTCGCTTTAAAGCTCCAGAAGTCTGAATTAAATTGGTAGGTGAGGAAACCAAACAGTCCGACCCAATCGCTCTTACGAACTCATCACTAAAGACCGTTGATTCTTACCCCCAAGAATGGATACATGTCTATACTAATGGATCAGCATTTAAAGCTACCATTAAAGCAGGTTACGGAATCTACATAGGTTATCATGATGGATGTGTTGAAGAGATTTTTGATGCATGCTGGGAATTCTGTTCAAATTATGAAGCTGAAATAATTGCACTGGAAACAGCAGTATACCACCTAAAGACTGTAATGGATGTTTACCCTTCAAAGGTCCAAAATATTGTCATCTTCACAGATTCAATGTCTGCCCTTCAAGCTCTGGAGGGCAGTGAACGCTGCAGAACTGACATAGCCAAGATAATCCTGGATGCTGATCAGCTTATTACCTCATACAACATCAGAATAGTGATGCAGTGGATTCCAGGTCACTCCGGCACACCAGGTAATCACAGAGCTGACAGATTGGTAAAGAAAGGAGCAACACAAGAACAACCTACAGTGACAACCCTCCAGACAGCAAAAACACTTATAAGAGCTATAAACAAAGAGACTTGGTTGAACAGATGGGAGACACTGGAAGAGAGGTTTATAGACATATGTCTGGCCCTGATCCTAATGACAGCATTAACCATCTAACAAGAAGGGACCAGGCCACCATCTTCAGACTTAGAACGCAACATACTCCACTCAATGGACACCTAAACAGAATACAGCCACAACACTCCCCAGAGTGCCAGCTATGTAACTACCCCTATGAAACTGTTCAACACCATCTCTTTGAGTGCCCAAAACTCAGTGAGACAAGAAGAACGCTACTCCCTCCGAGACCAGACAAGTGGAACACCTTGTACGGAGGAAAAGAACAGCTTGTGAAAACATGCAAATTCCACTACATGGCATTGGGCCAAAGGGCGAAAGCTGATGCGCCGCTGGATCGATAACAACAACAACAAATATGCCACACCTGTTGATGCTTCTGTAATAAAGCAGTTGGAATGGGCTTCAAATGAATGCTCTTTATTTTTACATGCCTGGACTATTCACTAGATAAATTCATTTATCTGAACAAATGTATGAATTTTTTAGAAAAATATGTTGGGATACTTGTTTTTAATAATATGCTTTATAACTGTTTTTAAGCTTAACAATAATTTAGCAACCATACATTAACAAAAAATTTATATATATATAGAGCATGCACAGAAAAAAGTATACTTTACATCTGATTTAAGATCACACTCTGTCATGTTAACATGAAATAATACAAGATTATACTCTAGACACAACCTCACCTTTGATCATTTTCTTGAGGATGTCATGATGGCATTTCTTCAGCACAGATTCCGATGGGGTTCCAAGCACTCCTACAATCAACTTCACCTGGGATATGTAATCTTTTCCTGGAGAGTCAAACATCAGCACAAGTTGACAAACAGTCTAACACACACGAAAGATGTTTCTTAAAGTCCACAAAGGATCCACGTGACAACTAGAGGCGACATGGGTATATGTTGCTAACCACATATTTTTAGAGACCTGTTGGTACTTACTGAGTGGTTTGATAAACAGCACACGTCATCTTTACTTTCTAGAACATTTCTCAGTACAACAGTAGGCTGTTCCAACATGGAGGCCCCGGTCAATTTTAAAGCATGCCCTAATGAGGATTCAAACCTTTCACCACTAGCAGGCAGGCAGGCTAGCCACTGAGCTACCAGGTTTCCATGTCAAAGGTCATGAAATGTTAAACAGATTGAAACAGTTCAGAGTCATCAAAGAAAAAAAAAAGTACTTGAAGAAATTATTAGCAGTAATTATAATTTGATACCAGATGATAATACGCTCACCTGCAGATTGGAAGGTAGTGGGTTAAAGTCCTGATGGAGCTGGTCATTTTTTCAAAAAATGACCTCTGCTCTCAGGTTGACCCAGCCTTTAGTGGGTACCAGGCACAGTTCTGGGAAGTAAAGGTGGCTGGCATGATGTTGACCACCAAGTGCCGATTGGCCTATAAAATATAGGTCTAGCCCTATGTGCCCAATACGCCTTAAGGTGTTGAAAAGGGTCCCTCACTTTTACTTACCAGAGAATAATAATTTCTGTAGTGAATACCAGGCTGGTACTCTATACCTGACCCCCTCTACACAGTGTGATAAGTTTATAAATATTACTGGTGATCATCCAATACTCCAACCGTCCTTCTCAAGGACTATGAGAACCTCTGCAGTTCAAGGCTAGTCTGCAACAGCAGAGCCAATATAAATCATATGGCTGGATCACCAACACACCAAGTTGTAATATCTAGGAAAGTTAGTACTCACATGTTACTGGGTTAACCAGACTTGCCAAATAATGCCACTAGAGGTCCTTTAGTACTCATATGTTAATGGGTTCACCAGACATACCAAATAACATTACAAGAGATCCTTTAGCACTCATATGTTACTGGGTTTACCAGGCTGGCCAACTAACACCACAAGAGGTCCTTTAGCACTCACATGTTACTGGATTCACCAGACGTCCTAAAACACACCGGACATGTTGGTAGTAAAAGTCAATGCCCTATTTTCTTGTCTTGAGGTGTTTTACCATGTGGTGCTAGCCTGGTATTTTTATAAACTAGTTACTGGCATCAATGACTGCAATAGCTGGGACACATAAAGAGAACAAAGGATAAGAGAGCGATCAAATCTACATTTAAAAAGTGGTCACTTGGACGATCATGTAGAAAAGCAAGAAGATGGTGGAGAGAGAGAAAAGAAGGCAGACCTACAAAAACTGGGACTCAACGAACAGAAAGAGAAGGCCAATCACAGAGATGAACTGAGGTGGGTGATACCTCAGCAATGAACCTCACAGCTCAGAAATGTTTTTACAATTTAACCACCCCATATTTATTATAAGTAAAACCTCGTTAACACAAACTGGCTTAAGGTAAAGACTCGGATAACATTAACAAATTTAGGTTCCAGCAGGTATGTATTTTGAAATATACATTTATTAGTTCCAGTTAGCACACGTTTTTGTTAACATAAACTCTTGATTTTTTCTAGTCCCTTAGAACCTGTGTTGACAAGGTTATACTGTAAATACATCAAACTATTTAAAAGCTGGCTTAGTGTGAGTTGCTTAAAGGCCTATGTTCCGTTAGTGGGTAAAGGAATAACTGATAAACTACATGATTAATAAACATCAACAGTGGAACAGCTATAGTTTACCACAGATAAAACTACCTGGAAACAGATGCTTTCGTCCCATCATTTCAGCAAATATGCAGCCAACCGACCACATATCCAGAGCTGCTCCATACTCCAGCATTGACAGGAGAATCTCTGGGGCACGATACCAGCGTGTTGCAACATACTGTGTCATGTAATAGCTGGGTTCATCCGGGGTATAGAATACACCACGGGCCATTCCTAAAGAACATTGTAACGTACTCATTTCTATACAGGTTATATCTACTGAACACATATCTACCAAAAGCCTAATTTCCTATCTCCTGTGGTGAAAGATCACATAAATCAGCTCTAGATCTAGCTATAACAAGAAGCAAAGATTAATCAGAATTGGCTAAAGTTAAATTAACCTTTTCGAAATACTACAGAAAGCTACTTTTAATGTTTTGAATGCACTGTGATAACAAACTGTTCCAAACTTTTATTAACATTTTTATTAAGTTTCATTAAAAATATTTATTATGCTGTCAGCAAAGTAGACTATGAGAGATAGGCCTCTGTCATCAGTGACAAAGAATCTGTTTTGTTTTTTCTTTTACTTCTTTGTTCACCAGCTTCAAGCTCTGGCAGAAAGTCCTGGTTGTTCGTCCATTCAGACTTTGGTTTTGTGCTAGGGCCTGAGTTCTGCGTGTACATCTGTTTTGCTGGCTTACTTGAGTGCTTGCTGCTCAGACAGATGAACTCTGGCTTCAAGGAAGCTTCCAATAAGTTGACTGCTATGACATGCTTGTTGGGGAGGCAGTGGGTTTATTCTTGTTGTATCCTGACGGACTTAATGGGGAAAAAAGAAAACTTTCACAGAAAATCTAAATCCCACAGATATATTTCAAAAACAGGTTGTAGTGAGACTCAAAACTGTTGAGAACAACATCAAAACTTGGGGAGAAAAAGCTTCTGACTTGCATGTGGAGAGGCCCTATCAGTAATAATCTTAAAGGTGATAGTCAACAAGTGAAAAAAAAAACAGAAAAAGGGGGGGGGGGAGGGGGAACTGCTAAAAGGGATGCCAGGTTGGAAACTTCCTTCTTATATGGCACATCAACCAATAGTCAGGTATAACTGAAGACATTTATTATTATGATTATGGCCAAAACAATAGTTTGGTCAATCAGTATGCCTCAGGCTCTGAAGATCATGATTTGTTTTTAAACTACGGCACTCAATTCAAGGGTGCATTCTTTCTATTGTATCCCCTCAGCACTGATGCTGCATCTGCAGAGTTTGTGTTCTTGGCAGGTGCCACTTGGCTTTATTTTTTTTAAATATCCTTAGTATAAGTTCAAAACTATTAAAACAAAAACAAAAAAACAGGCGATGAGACTTCATGTCCCCAAATGGAAAGTGTTGAACAAATGCTAGTCTCTTACCAAAGTCTCCAATTCTAAGATGGCAGTCTTCATTCACAAGAACATTGCTGGGTTTCAGATCTCGATGAATAACATTGGCAGAATGTATGTACTTGAGACCTCTGAGGAGTTGGTATAAGAAATAACGAATATGTTCTTCACTTAGCTCCTGCTTGGAGTAAATGATTCTGTGCAGATCACTTTCCATCAGGTCAAAGACAACATAAATATCCTGGAAACCAGAAGATCAAAATACTGTATAACAATACATTATAAGAATATCATAATGACTCATCTATTGAATCTGTTGAATGCTAATGCTTTAAAGGAAATGCTGTAAAGGAAATGATCGGTGGTAACGTTATACCTTCTGAAGTCTTCTTCTGCTTAGGTTCAACAGCTGTAAACTCCAGCAGAAAGTTCAGGTTGTTGTCCACATCTAAACTTTCATCTTCTTCCAGAACCTGAGTTTTGCATGCAGATCCAGCCTTTTTATAAGTAGACTGTTGGTTCCTCTGACTTTGAAGGAAATACCCATAACTGGTCACTTTGTAGAACATGCTTGTTAGGGAGGCAGTGGGTGTATTCCTTTTTTCCCACCTAAAATGGGGCTCCAGAACCCACAAATGAAACCTTCTGAAATCAAAAGGACATATCAAAATGACTCAAAACAGTCAGACTTCACTGGTTAGTGTATAATACAAACTGCCCAAGATACCAAGCCAAACAGGATAAAAAATTTTTTTCTTCTAAACCTAGTAATGAAAATGTCAAGCTGATGCTTTGCTGAAGGTTAAGCCTCATGCAGCAAGTCCCTTACATAAGTGTCTCACATCATGGCTTGCTGAAATGCCAATTGGCTTCTTGGCTATTCTCCAGCCTCATTTTAAGGTGTATTACTGCATCCTTCACTGAACATAATGCTTGTTTTGCTCAGGCTTTCTACATTTAACTCATTTAATCCATCTTCCATCTGCTGCAATCAGGATAATTCTGGTTAAAATAACTTCTTTTGCAAAGTATTCAAACAGAGGTGACTGCAATCAAGCAAGTAAAAACAAATGACAAGAAATGAATAAACTACATGCAAGCTATGACCAGAAAGTTCAATGGGGTGAAAAGAGGGGAAAAATGTGCACAGAAACAATCTAATGTTCTGACCACTCTTTACCAACAAGCAATAAGAAAAAGAAGAATTCCAAACAGCCCCTAAACATGAAAGTCAGATGAAGAGGGTGTAATTCTCGCAGATAAAGACTGCAGTCAAAATTGTTTCTTTGTGCATGTTTGTTTGTTTGTTCGAGACAGCTATGATGATGAATAGCCAAGTGCTGCACATTACCAGTGATAGATTAAGACTTAACCAGTTAGTTAGTCGACAGATTATCCCCACTGCACATTACCAGTGATAGATTAAGACTTAACCAGTTAGTTAGTCGACAGATTATCCCCACTGCACATTACCAGTGATAGATTAAGACTTAACCAGTTAGTTAGTCGACAGATTATCCCCACTGCACATTACCAGTGATAGATTAAGACTTAACCAGTTAGTTAGTCGACAGATTATCCCCACTGCACATTACCAGTGATAGATTAAGACTTAACCAGTTAGTTAGTCGACAGATTATCCCCACTGCACATTACCAGTGATAGATTAAGACTTAACCAGTTAGTTAGTCGACAGATTATCCCCACTGCACATTACCAGTGATAGATTAAGACTTAACCAGTTAGTTAGTCGACAGATTATCCCCACTGCATATTACCAGTGATAGATTAAGACTTAACCAGTTAGTTAGTCGACAGATTATCCCCACTGCACATCCAAACATACATTTCTTCACTGCCTAAACCAGCAAAAGATAAGCATAAGTATTTGGTAGGGAGCTGCGTGGTCTCAGGACATGGCATCCGCCTCGAGTGCTGGAGGTCCTGGGTTCAGGCATTGGTGAAGGCTGGGGTTTTTTCCATGTGGACTTAAAGTAATTTCCCCTGGTCTCTGGATAGTAAGATCGGACGCCCGTGTGTATTCTTGCGCACATAAAAAAGTCCCTTGACAGTTGAAAATCGAAAATAGTAGCCTGATGGTACCGCCCAGGCAAAATTTGGAGTTTAAAATACATCCAAAGTATTTCAGGATCCTCGCCGGTGCTGTGGAGTTTGTGTACTGCGCTGAGATTCTTTGGGCTCAGTCTTGAGTTAGAAGTAGAACGGAGCACTGATGGGTTACTACCCATGTGCCATGATGCTGATCCATTGTTTAAACCTAAACCTCAACCTATAAGTATTTGGTTCCTGTTATGAATGAAACAGGTGTGAATAAAGTTTAACAATCCTAGATGGGTTGAAAAAGTGGTACAGAAATGATTGAATGTCTGATCTGTCAAACACACATATACACAGAAAGGACATGTGTTTGTGGAGCGGCATGATTACCTGCACTAGCTAGCATAACAAATGATGATACGATTGTCCATAAAAATGTCAACTTACCTTGAAATCTGTAACATTCTGTTTAGGCATGAGAATTTCACGAATTGATATAATGTTGTCATGCTTGAAGTGTTTCAAGATTTTGATCTCTCTGTAGGTTCTCTTGGCAATAGACAATGCTTCAAAGACACATGGTATTTTTTTAATTGCAACTCTGTCTGTAGACTTTGTGTGAACAGCTGAACACACGACGCCATATGCACCAATACCAATGTTTTCTATAGGCTTGTAGTCTGTGCCTTGCAGATCAAACTTGGCATCAAGAGACCTTTTAGCTAAGTTTTTACGAATACATTCTATGTCTGCCACTTTTGTGGTTGTAAAAGAATGTGATTTCTCCATTCCTTTCAAGTGCTGATCTTCATCACCATCTTTCCTGTTCGCTTCTGAAGACATTTTAATTACTTCTGATGATCCTGAAGATGAACAAATTTGAATAAATTATGCATGTTTAGCATACTGTAATATATTTTACAATATTTAATATTTTGTTCTTTCAGTGTTTGCAAAAAGTCATTGGGGTCATAACGAAACACCCCTAAATGCTACTTTAAATTGTTATATTCATATTTTGTAGTTATCAAGATGGCAGAGTAAACATTGTTTGTTGATTCTGTGAAGTTTATATTACTTTCGTGTGTGTTTCTGAGATCAGTCAGTTCAAAAACAAGATGATCCAGCAAACCAGCAGGGAATTTATTTGTTCAGGTGTTATTACTCTCGAATGATGGAGGACGTTAAAGGAAAAGCATGACTCTTATATCAACGTGAACAGACCAGAAACACAAAGAAAGTGAACAGCAGCTACAGCAAAAAGTCGGCAAGAGATATTCAGTACATGGAATGTTAGCGGTCTAGAAAATAAAGAACCAAAACTAACTGAATACATCAAGAAATCAAACAGCCAGATATTAGGATTACTTCTTCTTCTTCTTTCGTTCGCATGAAATAAATTGTCTATATCTGCAAAGCCGTCTCTTGTATGAATTTCACTGTCTTTTGTAATTCACTAAGCGGCCCGTAAAGTTTGACTTCCACAAGTGTCTCTTTTGGTCAAATGTTTTGCCTGAAAGCGTTGAATATGGGACAGTCTTGAAGGATGTGATCTGTTGTTTCAGGTGCCAGTCCACAAGTACACATGGCCGATTGGCCAATCTTAAATTTGTTGTACATGTGGGAGCGAAGTCTATTGTGCCCTGTTCTAAGGCGAAGGATAATGACTTGCTCTGGTCTGTCCATAATATGGTAATCATCTTGTGCCAGTTTCGGTGGCATTCTGATTGATTTGATCATTCTCTTCTTCTGTTGATAAGAGACTGGTATGTCAGGTTGTTCTTCAGTTGCACCTTCCTTAGCTAGTTTATCAGCTTTTTCGTTTCCGGGAACTCCACAGTGGGAAGGTATCCACTGCAATACTAATTTACAGCGGTTGCCTAGTTCGGATAATAGTGTCCGTATGCTTGGTAATTTTCCAGACTGGAGTGACTGAAGTACTGCTTTTGCATCTGTCAGGAATACCACTGGTTGTGAAAAATACCCTGTATTTAGTAGTTTCTCTAACGCTATCTTGATGGCTTGAACTTCTGCATCATAGTTGTGACAGTGCTTTCCCGTTGGTAATTTGGCTGTATCCCTGGTATTATTAGGATACTCAATGTACACTCCCGCACCTCCGTTTCTGACTGCGCTTTCTGCTGACCCATCTGTGTAAACACGGACCCAAAGGTTCTGCGGGTATTCATCATCAAGTAAACTGAGGGTGGCTGTTTTGCGCTGCACACTGTTTTGTTCTTCCTTGTCAAATACCCCTTTCACTTCAGTCTTGATGTGTATTGGAAACTTATACTCCTCTCTCCAGGGGGTCCGTTCTGGGACAGCATTTAAGGATCTATCAGTTGCAGGTAAATCAGTGGTTTGTCTGCCGAGCCGTTTGGCCTGTTGGATAAAACTACTTCTCTTTAGTCGTCCCAAAGCTAAATTTTTGAATCTTTCATTCATAGGGTGACTGGGCATACTAAGAAACTTTTCTGCTTGTAAAAGCATCTTGGTGTCTCTGCGTTCACTTAGTGCTTGGGTCATCCCCATTTTCTCCATCACAGCTATAGGTGTTGATTTCATACTGCCTGTGGTAACTCTAAGTGCTTGATTTTGCACTTTGTCTAATTCTTGCAATGTGGTTTTTGATGCCGAACTCCATGCTGTTGATCCGTATTCAAGATGTGGTCGAACACTTTGTTGGTAAACTTTTCTAAGTATTTTCCCGCTAGCACCCCATGTGGTTCCACTTAGTTTTCTCAGAATGGCTACCCTCCTTCTGGCTTTGGTTGCTGCCTTGTTGATGTGTTTTCTCCATGTTAATCTATCATCAAACGTTACGCCGAGGTATGTGGGCTCCTTATCCTCTCTCAGGGGTACTCCATTTATGTGCATGGCGCCTGATTTTTGTTTAGGAGAAAGGGTAAAGAGAGTGGTGCTGCATTTGCCTATGTTGATGCTGACACACCATTTGTCGGCCCATTTAGCCATTGCATCTATGGCTCTTTGTAGCAGTCTGGTGGCCACTGTTGCATTTTCATTTGTACACCAGAGTACCAAGTCATCAGCATACATTGCAGCTTTAATTCCATGGGGTAGTTCAGAAAGCAGGTCGTTGATATAGACTAGGAAGAGTGTGGGGGACAGGACACCTCCTTGTGGGACGCCATGGCGCAGCAAAACGTTCTTGCTCTTAAGTCCATCTATCTGTACTCGGGATCTTCTGTTATACAAGTATGCTTTGACCCATTTGTACATACTCCCATTCACCCTGCAGTCTCTCAGTTTCTTCAGTAGACCTTCTTTCCAGACCTTGTCAAAGGCTTTCTTCAGATCTATCCATGCCGTTAGCACTAGCTTCTTTTCCTGGAAGGCATCCTCAATTTCTTGTGAAAGGTAAGTTGTCTGGTCTTCTGTGGAGTAGCACTGTCTAAATCCTGCCTGCTGCGGCGTGAAAATGTTTTCACTTTCCAAGTACCATTGACAACACACAAAACAAATTCATGAGAATTATGTTCTGATATCGAGCAGTGTCAATCTCTGTGGGAACTTATAGCCCCTGAGTGCTAAACTAACCAGGAAACTTATCATAACTTTGGAATTTGTTAGGAAATTAACCAAACCCTAAAGTGTTATTCTCAAATTTGGATATTCGCTACTCTTGAGGCTGCAAAACCATGGTAAGTAAATAATTTGTTTGTAAAATGTTGTGAAATTAACACCTGCTAAATTCTTCTTTCCTACTAACTATAACATTATTAAACATAAACTTATCATCAGATTCAAAATGTACATTCATTTTTCTTTAAAAAAATATATACTTTTGCAGGGATTAGAAGTATATTAAATTCTCTATTGCCTTTTTTTTTTTGTACACCACCCCTTCTGCTATTTTTGTCAAGAAATTAATGTGGGCCAAATCTGTCAAAATTAATGGGCCTGAAAGAGTTAACTCACAAAGTGCTTACTTAAAAATAGTGAGCTGGTGGCCATTTTTTATGTTAATTAGGTAGTATCAGCTGATAACGACATCTGTGTGTGATCCATATATGAGCCTCATCAGTCCGCACAGTACGGTATGCATTATGCCAGGCTTGTTGGCAAAAAACCATATATTTATAGTGTTTACTTAAAAAAGTGAGCTGGCAGACATTTGTATACATTAATTAGGCCCATACAGCATAATACGTATTTAAGAATTGCATAACCAGTTAGGTCTCACTGCCCCGACTGACATGATAATATAGTTGCTAAGTGATTAGTTAAAAAAAAACAGTTATTGCCATAAAATGCAAACATTTTGTCATTTCAACCCTACATTTTACTGGGATGCAGCTCGGAATCATCTTTTGTCAGGTTACATTATAATTTGCCTATGGTGGTACACGGCACTGAAATGTTAAAATCTCCGCTTAGAATGACTTTCAGGCTTCACTGAGGTATTATTAGACTGGATATTTTAATCTCTATTAGAGTCTCTATTCAGCTGTGATGATTTCATAAGTAAAAACACAATACATAAAACTTCAATAGCATCCAAAGAAAATTTGGCTATCCTCCGAATAACGGTCCCAAATATACGCCAATTGTGGACTTCCGGTGACTTAAATTGAACACTTCCTGCGACTTCCGCCGACAGTATCTCCTACACTGCTACGCGTGGCATGGATTGGGGCTAAACTAGATGGCTGGGACTCACGAGCAGCAGCTACTGCATCTCCTGCAGCTTCCTTCATTTTATTTGCTCCTGAGTCCCAGCCATCTAGTTTAGCCCCAATCCACACCACGCGGCGGCGTAAGAGATACTATCGGCAGTGGCCGTATAGTCCCAGAAAGTCCGCAATTCGGCGGTGGCGGTATAGTCCCCGGAAGTCCGCAATTGACATGTGACTGAGGCCTGTTAGGGTATATTTTCGGCCTTGATAATCTGGGACCGTTATTCGGAGGATAGCCGAAAATTTAAACACACTCGCATATCCACTTCAACTACCATAATTTGACCTACACTCAGATACACTTCTCAGATCATTTTGCAGGCATAGTTAATATTAATAACACTTAACGCTTCCCAACGGACTATTTCAAAAATCGCAGTTCTTGTATTTACTTCAATCTGACAAACTACACATGTGTGTTAGTACTGTCACTAAACAGTGTTAGTTAGCCCACCATTCCAGCTGACCATAAATGTTACTTATGGCTTTAGAGAAGACGGCTTTGGTTAGAGTTAGGGCTAAACCTAACATAAGCACTAACCCTAACAGCCCTTACCCTAACGAAGTTATTCAATATTGAATATTATAGATTAAATATTTACAGAAAATTTTTATGTGAACGTACAAAAAACAATTGTATGATAATTGATTGTCTCGCTTATGATCGCCGATTTTTTGCGTCCCCCAGCGTCGCCGCTGCAAGGAGTGCTCTACTTTTAGTAGTATTAGTAGAAACAAAAACAATAAATGACTCTACTAGTGGCGTTTTTTTTTAAAATGTATTCAGGAGCAAGAAGCTAAAATTACTAAAAATCGGTAACAATTGAGGGGTACACAAAAGCAGCCAGCCTCCTGTGCTTGTGTTTACATGTAGCTCTCCTGGTTCCGGTTGTCGTTTTAGTTTGCATCTGCACCAGGGCTGCCAATGGGATTTTTATGAAAACCCAAGCTAAGCTGACCAAAACACCCTGACAATTAGCAAAGAACTGGGAGGGGGGAACAAGGAATTATTTTTAAAAATTATATTTACGAAACGAAACATTTACCCACTTTTATATATGGATATATTTTAAAAGACAGCTTATCACAGATATCAGAAAGAGACAGTCGTCATGTTATGAGAAGATGGAAAATGGAACATGTTGTGACCACTGGAAAGACCTGTGGAAGGGGGGACAGAGGAAGACAACGAAACAAGATTTTTGACAGTCTTGTTGCATGGCATGGAAGTGTGTCGGCAAACAAACTGATACATGCTGCAGGAGACTGTGGATTGTGGAGAGGCATGAACGCCAACGCCAGTCGGCAAGGCACCTGATAAAAATTATGATGTTTAAAAACCCAAGATTCCAAAATCTGAACCCATGGGGATCAAATAAAAACCCAGATCTTGGGGGAAACCCAAGTACTAACAACCATGGTCTGCAGGGGAGATCGCACCGGAAACAAATCTTTTGCTGACATTCATATTATCTATCTATCTATCTATCTATCTATCTATCTATCTATCTATCTATCTATCTATCTATCTATCTATCTATCTATCTATCTATCTATCTATCTATCTATCTATCTATCTATCTATCTATCTATCTATCTATCTATCTATCTATCTATCTATCTATCTATCTATCTATCTATCTATCTATCTATCTATCTATCTATCTATCTATCTATCTATCTATCTATCTATCTATCTATCTATCTATCTATCTATCTATCTATCTATCTATCTATCTATCTACCTGTCTGTCTGTCGGTCTACCTATCTATCTATCTGTCTACCTGTCTGTCTGTCTGTCTATCTATCTACCTGTCTGTCTGTCGGTCTACCTACCTACCTACCTATCTATCTACCTACCTACCTACCTACCTACCTACCTACCTACCTACCTACCTACCTACCTACCTACATACATACATACATACATACATACATACATACATACATACATACATACATACATACATACATACATACATACATACATACATACATACATACATACATACATACATACATACATACATACATACATACATACATACATACATACATACATACATACATACATACATACATACATACATACATACATACATACATACATACATACATACATACATACATACATACATACATACATACATACATACATACATACATACATACATACATACATACATACATACATACATACATACAAAGTGCGAACACCGTAGCTACAGCGATGATTCCCAGGGGTCTCGGTAAAGACTGCCTCGTGAATCGAACAACGCAGCCGTCAGCATGCAATGTAAACAGCTTGACAACTTCGCCACGAACGGAAACCTCCAGCTTTGTTTTTTAAACAGAATTACTGTAGCTCATTTGGGGTTTCTGGACGCAGTTTCAAACTCCAACATACCTGAGTACGAAGTCAACTTGCTGTTAGCGATTGGGCATCACACCGCTTGCTAATTATTTTGACAAGGGTATGGTGACCTGATCGTTCATGTTTCAATGGCAAACCAATGAATGTACTACTGCCTATTGAAATCACCCAATAGTCAATATTCTTTAGTGTACATGAAACTTAAGTGTTTCACTGGTGCTCAGTCTACAATTGGTTTCCCTCAAACGTTTATTATTTTGTCATTGAATGGTATTGTCTGAATGATTTAAGAAGCAATATTATAAAGCTCTTAATCACCTTAATATACAGCAATGAGCACGTGATCCGACGTCACGACATTTATGATTCATTTACCTGCAGCCAATGATTACTCAGCACCGTACTTAACCCTTTTTGGCAATGCACCTGTTAGGTCGCACCCCAAACATTAGCCTACTATCGCGACCAGGGCTGCCAACGATGGGTTTTCCCCCCATATCTGGGTTTTTCTTAGACGCACTAGAGAAATCTAGGTTTTCTTTAAATATATCCTTATATAAAAGTTGTAAATGTTTCATTTCGTAACTATACATTTTGCGAATGTTAACAATCTGGGTTTTTCTTTAGCAAAGCTGGGTTTTTCAAAAAAAAATCCCATTGGCAGCCCTGATCGCCACACTGTTGCTGTCTGCTGGTACACATGGAGCAAATATTTTTTGGGTGACCGCCTGTCAGGTTTGCGATAAGGCGGATTCTAATCGAAGCGAAGTTGTACATTGATTCGTACTGAACTAATTAAACTGCAACATTTACATTACACATATTAAAAAGTGTTATATATAGCACGTATTGGGGCAAACGGAAGTATAGTAATTTCGTCCTAAATTCGTGCTTCCAGCGGTAACAATTGTTTATCGTTAGCAGCAAATCCTTTAGTACCTTTGATAGCTTACACTGATTTCGATTTTCAGGGGGAAAAAATTTCAGGGTGGTGTAAAACGAAAACTATGTGGGATAGGCCCTCAGGTATGCAGTGTTGTCGCAAGGTCATTAGAGTAGGTCATTCTCATGATGTTATGAATGGCCGCATTTTCCATTACCCTCTACTGGCAATTCCGTGAATAGACAAGGTGTTTCCGCTTTAGTCGCCATGTTATTTAGCGAATCTGTTTTGAAGACTTTTTTTTTTTTTTCAAAATTGTTATTTCATTTATAAACCAGGAATAAGCTTTTGACATACTTGTAGTGAATGTACTGTATGTTTGCTTTTAACAGTTTAAAATGAGCAAACATCACATTTGCGGGAATTTTAATATTAATACATTTCACTATGTTACAGGGTCTCATTATGGCGGAGTGAGGAGTTAGCCCCCCCCCCCCACAAACATGTAAAATACGATAAATTAGGGGGTTTCATTCCAAGTCAGAGTGCATCCGAATGACCAATGAGGGGCGGTCTGGGGGGGGGGTGGGGGGCACACCGAGGTTCCTGCAAAACTCAAGTTCTGGAACAAGGCGTTTTAGTGGGCGAACAGCCAGAACTGTCTGCCAGAGAAGAGAGGCTCATACATTACAACAGGACTATTTGACTGGCTGCGGCCCGTGAGACGACTCCGGCCCGTAGAGGTCTAGCAGGTTGTTCGCGCATCAGTGCTAGCGGCATTGATGGTTTTTTTTTTTAACGCTGGAGCTTTTGGCCCGTTGCTGCCCAAATTAACAACACTGCGGGCCCTCGTGTCAACTTAAATAGCTCTAAAAAAACAAGTTGCATACGGGGGGGGGGAGACGTACTTCAAAACCATTTGAAGTGAACGACTAAGCATGCGTGCTTTCCGTATATTTTATTTAAAACACCAACAATATTTGAGAGCGATTAAGCATTCATATCAAGAAAAAGAAGAGAACAGCCTCCCGAAACCATCTAAACCACTACAGTACACAATATGAAAATTATAATGTTAAAATAAAAACCGAACGACAGAAGTTATGGTGACAGACAACTGTAAATGACATTTAAAAAAATACCAAAATAATCGTAAAAGTTGTTAATTTAATAACATTATGGCGGCGGCCCATTTTTGAGCAAGAGGAGGTCTACGTCACAGAAGAACAATATATTTTGTTAATGCTTTATTTGACATTAATTTGCTGTGTCAAAACAAAACCTAATGGTAATATTAGGGAGTTCATAGCTAAGGTGAAGAGGCGCTGCTTAGAGCACCAAAGTTTGGCATTTGACATCACAACGTCTAGTTTGAGAATGGAGGTGGAGGCAGTCACTGCTGCCTTCGACCGGACTGAGATATACGGTTATTCTTATAAATTTGGCGATCACATTGGCGTGTTTTACTCTATCAAAAGGCTTTATGTAACACAAATTGAGGCCTTTTTTCTTTTCTTTCGTATGCTTTATAAATGCTCTCAGTGAACATAGCATAAATGCTACCTCTTGCTCCAAGAAAAACCCATATTGTTCTTGCATTTTCTTTTTAAAACGTTGCATTGCAATTCTTGGTAAAATCTTGTGACGTGGATATTTATACGTATTATTCAATGCTGATAATGTCTTAAATTTCAATATCTAGTCTGCATATTAAACAATAACGGAGACTATTCAACAGAAGTGAAAAGGACGTTGGTCATAGCAGTACAAACATGAAACATAACATTATTAATAAGACTATGGTTAATTAAGCACCAGCACTGCAATCAAAGTTAACATTTTGACTGAGAGAATGCATTTTCCCTGTTTGCAATATACGTGAGTCGTGGACTATCTCTTAGTCCTTGAGAAAGAAAACGGGGTTTTTGAGGTGAAATGCTGTAGAAAGAGTCGCATAAAAGGCCTACTTTGGACAAAGAAAAAAAGAAATTCTAACATTCTAAAAGATCTGATACATCAAGGGAAACTGGCTAATAAATAGCATCTTGCTTGAAGCTGAAACATTTTGGCCACATCAAGCGCCGCTGGAGAAAACAATAGTAATACAATAATATACTACACCGCCTCCACCCCACCCCCACCCGGGCTGTTAAAATGGGTTCCCTGAACTCACACAGGGAGTACACATTATCGTTTACTGATATGAATTGTAGTTTATCATTCTTCTCTAAGATTATTATGGGCGACTGATGAGTTTCGTATTTTAGCGTCAACTATGCAAGCTAATTATGGATATGCCTGCCTTAACTTGAAAGTCAACATTTATCAGTAGTCACCTGTTAGGCCCCCAAATTATACATACACTTTCTGGTACTTGATTAATAATTGATCTTGACTGGAACGTCGTCTGGCAATCTGGCAGTATAACCATCTCTAAACGGGTTTTCGCACAGGGCGGAATAATTTTACACTGCTTATCGGCAGACGCACTACTTTTTTAGTCTGTGGCGGGCGTAGCCATTTTGGAGAGAGAAATAAATTTCCATTTGTAATCGCTGTCAATCCTCTGTTAGAAGTCGCCATCTACCTGAACTATAATGGGAGAGACAAGAGATGATTGTGTTTATCAGGCTAAGCTTGCCGAACAGGCAGAACGCTATGACGGTAAGTAAATTCATTAAATAATATTTTCTGTATCTTTCTCATATCGAAAGAATGCATAACGACATCTGTCTTTTGATGGAAATATTTAGTAGAAGTGCAAACTCTTTGCTAAAGGCTGACTGTATGAACAATTATGTGCATAGTTAAAATACAAACATGCTTAACGTCGAGATCAAGATAACTATGTGGCGTATTAAATGCAATCAGCAAATTTTCAACGGTGTTTCTTACATTGCTAGGCGGGCGCCATATTGTTTTGCCTCTGTGACTAATGCTTATAACATATTTAACATTTTTAAACAAAATTGTCACAGAGTTGTTTGTTTGCGTGTAAAATACTTGTACATATTCTCATCAGCAACACATTTTCACCCTTTTAGCACGGGAAGTTTTTCAGATGTCTTGCCAACTCTAGCCACTTTAGTCAAATTTTCAAAATCATTTTTTACCTATAAAACCAATACAGCTGGATACACATTGAAAAGATCGTTCCAACGGTACCTCATTTATGCCTGTATGTCAATTCTGAGCCGAGTTATTGAAGTTTTTGTGAAAAAAAAATGAATAAAGAAGAAAAAATAAAAGTGAGTTAAAACTTGTCGCCCAGAAATCAGAAGTCTTTGAGGGGCGTTTAAAACTGTTCTTATTATTATTTTAAAAAGACCCTAGAAACCATATATTTTTGTATTCGGGGCAACAAGGCCTAACTGAATAAACATGAAATTTTCAGTAGTTATGTAATGTCGACTAATTATTATGCAAAATGGCCGCCATTTATCATAATCGTTACATAAAAATTTATATGTTATAAATCTATTGATATCAGTTTTTTTCTTTGTTGCAACATGTTATAACAATCAAAAGTTCACTTTGTGATATTTTAGACACAGGCTCTTGCTTAAATCAAAATTTATAATGGTCGTTAATTACTAATTATTAAAAATCAATTTGTTCTAATAATTTTTATAACGGTCTTTACATTTCTTTTCTAGGAAAGTTTAACAGAACAAGAAAGCCTTGAACATGAAGGTCCAATATATGAATAATCATCAAATTTTTATCTATTGCGTAAGATCAATTAATTATTATTCAAAATGGCCACCAATTATAATCATAAGACAATAAACTCAATTTATGATATAATCCTGTCATCATCGCTTTTTTTTTGGGGGGCAGCCTAATAGAACAGTGAAAATTTTGGAAGTCATGATCTCGCCGAAGTTGTATTTTAAATGGCCGCTTGTATTTGTTTAAAAACATTAATTTGTTTCTAACGACCTTTAAGTTACCAGCTTTATTAATTTTTGGGTGCAGTCTATAGAACAACCAACAGGCTATATTTGTGGTGTTAAAGACATGGGCTATCCTCCAAATAATGGTCAAATTGTCGAGGCTAAGAAAATACCCTAACAGGGCCTCATTAATCTGTAAATTGCGGACCTCTTTCCAGCGACTCTACTGTGAAAAAGCTTCTGTCGAGGTAAAGTCACAGCCAAAAGTTTCCTCCGTGCCGCGCGGAGGGGAGCTAAACTAGATGGCTGGGACTCACGAGCAGCAGCTACGGCATCTTCTGCAGCTTCCTTCATTTTATTTGCTGCTCTTGAGTCCCAGCCATCTAGTTTAGCCCCCTCCGCACCGTGCGTAGCGATGCACGGGATACTTTTGGCTGTGGTGGTATAGTCGCCGGAAAGAGGTCAGCAATTTACATATGATGAGGCCCTGTTAGGGTATTTTCTTAGCTTCGATAATTTGGATCATACATCCCTGCAGGAACAAAATGTTTATGTTAACCGACTTTACTTCAGCAAGTCAGCGTCAGGTTTACATCCTGAAAAAGAAACAACTATATATTAAAATAAGCAAATAATTCAGTTGGCATTTTATTCAATAGATCTTTTTCTTTACTTTTATCTTTGATCGTTTCTACTGACAAGGGAGCTACAAGGATTCTGACAGTTAAATTTCAGTATGCAAAGCATACATTTAACAAATGTAGGCATACAGTTAAAGTGTGTCTTTGTGTGTTTAAGTGCATGCAAGTTAATGAGGTAAGTAATGGTTATAATGTAATGATCTGTCACTTGTCATTTACTTATAAGCTGGATTTTCAAAGAGTAAAATTAATATGTTCCCCTATGATTTGCTTCGGATTTGTATTGTGTTTTCATGGAGCAGTGTTTCAATTTCAAAGGTAAGAGAATCTTTTTTTCTCCCAGTTATTAAAGTTTCTATGTCCTGTCTAATCTATTTGATAGTACATCAACAGCATTTTTCTCTTATATCACTAATTCACGGCTTGACATCTTCATGATTTGCCTGTCCAATCCTGCCACCACTACCATGCTTTAAATTATCAGCACTGAGGAAGGAGGAGGTCAATCCATGGCTGGTGAATTAGGTTGCAGCTGTCCTGTATTCACGTTGGTTTGCTCTCCGACTGGGCTCATGGACCTCTGAACCATGCACTTTGGCCCCAGGACTGCCACAGGGATCCGCCATCAAGTCTCACGATAGATGGCAGAGACGTCAACAGAGAGAGCAAACTGAAGTATCTGGAAATTACATTTGACAGGAGCCTGTCATTTAAGGACCATGTGGAGAGTGTTGTGACGAGATGCCAAAAAGGACCTAGTGCACTTAAGACTATGGCTGCAATTGACATAGAGCAGAGAATGCTTTTCACACTATATCAGCACCTGATCCTGTCAGTGGTGGATTATGGCCTGGGACTGCTTACCGTCTCAAAGGGTCAGATGGACAAATTAGAGCGCATACAGAACGCGGCTAAGCGGGTCATTCTGGGTTGCACCAGAGACAGCCCAGTGGTGTGTATGCAATACATCCTTGGTTTGCCGACGGTTGCAGGTAAGCACACGGTGATGCAGGCGAAGTCATATCTCAGGGTAGCTGCAGGCACAGACCACCCTCTGCATGAAGCTCTGGGTGCAGTTAAGGGTCAGCGGCTGATAAGAGGGAGGTCATGGATGGCTCAGGCAGAAGACACAATCAGACAGGTTTGCATCCTTGAGAACATTAGGCGAGGAGAGGAGTGGGTCAAAGTGCCACTTGAGCAGTCAGACTTGTGTAGAGTCATAATCACGCTGAGCTGGGAATGCAGAGACTGGCCAGCAGGTGCCACAGAGGTGGAAATTCAGCAATTAGTTTAAGATAATGCTCGCTCAGAGGATTTGATCATTTACACAGACGGTTCAGTGTCAAGAGGCAAAAGAAGTGCTTGGGGCTTTTTAGCAAAAGTTAATGGTCGACGTTTGGTGCAGCAGAGCCTAGCATATGAAACAACATCCAGCTTAAGAATGGAGGTGGAGGCGGTCACTGCAGCTTTTCGCTGGCTAGAGAACACGACACACACACACATTGTAATTGTAACTGATTCAGAAAGCATGTTGAGGAAGATCAGAACAGGTATGCTTCGTGCAGAGTGGCATGCTTCGCTGCGGAGGACACGAGTGAGGAGTATTGTCTGGATTTTTTCACCGGGTCACGTCGGTGTGTTGGGAAATGAACAGGCGGACAGACTGGCTGGCTCTGCACAACTTGGTGGAATACTGCTACATGATAGGGCAGACGTGGTTAGTGCCTTGTGGGAGAGCGTGTACAATGCGGAGGAGCAGATGGATCACCACAGTTTGGTGAGATTAATGCAGTTGGGGGTGACGAGAGGTTCTGGCAGAAGCTCAAGGCTCAGAGGAAAGGCAAGACAGACATTTAATCAGAAAGCTACTGGCACCATTAGTATCGGAACTCTTCGCTGGCTGCTGAAGATGTAGACGGAGCGCTTATAGGAATGCCCCGGGTGCTGTGATGTCAGTTCTTGAATCAAATCAAATCAGAGTGCTGTTGGTTCTTAAGAAGAAATCCTTAAATCAGGCACATGCCAGGAGCGGTATGTGACAGACAGTTAGGCCGCCGCCGAGAGTATCCCTCACACCGTGTGGATTAGGGCTAAACTAGATGGCTGGGACTCAGGAGCAGCAGCTACCGCATCTCCTGCAGCTTCCTTCATTTTATTTGCTCGTGAGTCCTAGCCATCTAGTTTAGCCCCAATCTATGCCGCATGAGCGGCGTGGGGGATACTCTTGGCAGTGCTGGAAGTTCGCAATTCGACGATAGTGTTATAGTCCCCGGAGGTTTCTGAATTTACACGTGACTAAGGCCCTGTTAGGGTAAATTTACCGCCCCGACAATTTGGGACCCTTATTTGGAGGATAGCCCATGCATTTTTTTAAATAACGTATAATGCAGTAAGACCTAACAGCTCACTGTTTTTGAGGCAACACTGTATTCATTTATTTGTCAATGAGCCTTGCAAGATGCATACCCTGTTGTTCAGAGTAATGAGGCAGATGTTTGGATTATACAGAAATGCAGATATTGATATTATCTAATTAACATTTAAAAAATTGCCACTGGCTAATTTTATGTAGGCACTTAATTTGTTAATGATTACAACAGGTTTAAAAAAATTCAGTGGCTAGCCACCTGTCATGAACCACAAATAAAACACAACCTCCTTAAACTCCACTTGTGTTACTTTTTATCTGGTCTTCATTGGCAGAATTTGCTGTTGAGCCATTGATTACTAGTAATTTAAAGGCAATTGACACCTCTAGGGATTATATGTTAAGAGAAAAAGTGTCTGGCAGACTAAATGTTTTGACTGAACATATTCGCATTTCTGCACATATAACAATTAAAAATGTCTAGAGTATGTGAACCTAGTACACTTAAACAAATACAACTTTCTTGTGATATTCAGTGTGAAATTTATTTTATTTATTGTGGTGTTAGGTATTTAGTGTGGATACTGTTTACAGTGAAATACCTAAAAATTGGCTTCCCTGTCTGCTGTGCTGAATAATAGTCTGGTGATATCTTATTACACTTGATTCAGGTGTGTTGTTGTACACCTCTCTGTTTCTGTACCTAATGAGAGAGAGCTCTGCCACAGCCGCCTGGACATAGTATGGGAGCAGCTGAGTTTCAGCATCAACCTGTCGTGATAAATTGAGGCCCACTCAGGGTTCAGATGACCTGAACTCTAGGCAGTATTAGCTGTTTATGCAGATTTTAAAATCTGTTATATCTTTGTACATAAATTGGTCTTTCACACTTCCTATTTATGTATATTTCTAAAAAGATAGTGCAGAGGTTTAGTTTTGTGAATGTCTGTAGTCACTCAAGGGACTGTTCCCATTCTGTTTAGAAATTGTAGTTTTATTTTGAATAAAGTGAACTCATTAACCTAGGCTATGTTAATACAATTTCTTTAATGTAATATTGCAGTCTCAAGCTTCAGTAATAAAAGGTAATGTCACCATGTTTTGCCATCTATATGCTAAATAATCAGCAGGTTTTATACATACCTGTTTCTTTGTTTTATATAGAAATGGTGAACTTCATGAAGTCGGTGGCCGAGAGGGATATGGAGCTCACCGTGGAGGAGCGCAACCTTTTGTCTGTGGCTTACAAGAATGTCATTGGGGCGCGTAGGGCCTCCTGGAGGATTGTTAGCAGCTTAGAACAAAAAGATGATGGCAAATGCCCAGAGGATAGACACAACCTTATAGTCACTTACAGGAAAAAGGTAAGTTTGTTCAGAAACCAGTGCCATTTATAATAGTGTTTGTCACTTGACAGTAGGGTGTCCATGGTGTCTAGGAGTAGATTACATGTTGAAAGCTGATTATACTCACAAAGTGTTTCTGTTGCCTGGCCATAAACATACAGGACTATTCAAAGCCAAAGTAATTGATAAGATCGCTTCTGCACACACTTAATACTTTAACTTTATTATTGCATATACAGACGGATCCGGAAAAAATTCAACAGAAAATGGAGGTGGGGGAATTGTCCTCAATCTAAAAAATGGATCAAAGTAAACACAGTCGATTGCAACTGGAAAGTTCTCAAGTAATTTTAGAGCAGAGGCAAATATCTTCACAGATGCAAAGTCAGTTGCCTCAGCACTGAAGAGCAAAAATGTTACAGAACTAGCAGACCTTAGAGCTGCACTCCATGGACTGAGTCAGAAATCAAAAAGAGTCATAATACAATGGATTCCATCCTATTGCAACATACCTGGAAATGAAGAGGCTGACAGATTGGCAAGGAAGGTTGAAGACTACCGCAGCCTGATATAGACATAACATATGATGAGGCCAAGAGGTTTATAAGAAGCACATATAGAATCAATGCGATTCTGAACATCCAGGCTACAAGAAGGAGGATGCATACGATCAACTTGGCTGAAGAGAACAAGTAGTGATTGTTGTACACTTAATTTGTACATTCTTTTGTATACTTTATATTCAACCAAGTATTTAGGCCTAGGGTGCCTATTCTAGTATTCCGCTGGATATCTCCTTGATGGATGTGCTACAGTGAAGTCCTGCATTCTATAACTGGCACACTTGGCACCGACACAGCATCATGTAAAACAGTCGCTACCTTTACAAGCCAACAATAACGCTTGTGACAGGCCACATAAACTTTAATGGCATTAAAGTTACACGTCACAAGATGATGATGATTATTCAATAAAAACGTACGATAATAACTCTTTATTATCTACTCTGAGAATATAAAAGAATTACACTCTTTTCTCAATGGACTCCTGCCATTATAATAAATAAATAGACATTAAACTGTCTCCCGTGTAAGTACGGTTAATCAAACTTCACAAAGAAGGAACGTCTGCTTCGAACAAGGGAAATATCTTGACTGCCGAATCCTTTGTGTTCTGCAGGAGCCTTTGTGTTAATCGCCCAGCATTCAATTAGCTGGTATCCCAGGTAACAGACCCGACCGGTGGCCGCTGTGTGAACCTTTCACCTGCGCTGTGACCACTAGAAGAAACTAGAAGAAACTTTAACTCTTGGACTATAAGATTACAACAGTGATCTTTAGACTCCGCACAGGACATAATAGGCTGAAACACCACTTGTTCAATAAACTAAAGATAGGAGACAATGATGATTGTAACTGTGGAAAGGGTAAAATGACGGCTAAACACTTGCTTCAAGAGTGTCCAATATATGCAGAACAGAGAAAATTATTCTGGCTAACACCCGCAACTTTTGAGGATAAACTGTGTGGAGATGTCAACAACCTCAAGTTGACTGTTGATTTCTTCAAATATATCCACACTGACATCTGAAGGTATAAAAAGAATAAAACTCCGGGATTCTCTAAGCTGATAGTCCCTAGAGATGCAGAGCTTGTAAACCACGTAAAACTATAGTGGATGAGAAAGTCCACTGCAGTAAAAGAAGCAAAGTACTCATTTTGTGGTGTAGGTAAATTGAAGGCTGCATACTGTTGACTTCAAAAGAGATAGCCCATGATGTATGAGATGTTCAATATATGGAAGTGACGTTAAACAGTCATGAGCAGGACGTGACGATTACTTGGGTGAGCCCAGTACCAGAGCACCATGTATTAGCTCTGCATTTGTGGAAGCCTCGTTGGGTGGCGGGGAATGCTCATGTTCTGCCCCTGCCTTCTCTTGAGGGCTGATCAGCATTATGTGGCTTCTCTGGACCAGCCTGATAGGGACACCACCTGTGATCTGGGAAATAAAGATGACCACACAACAATGAGACTGCCATGTCCTAACTGGGAAAGCTAACCCGGTCAACAAATGCCCGCAAAAGTCGGATGTGTTGGCCGAAAGGTGCAAATATCGCAGCGATGCTGTAAACTGACACAACGCAATTACATCTTTGGATGAACACAGAAGAAGAAAAAGAATACTTTATTATTATACATCTAGACAACAATGCATTTCCAGAAATATTACTGTAGTGTGGATTAATAATTATATATCTTTAAACAAACAAATTCAAGATGGCCGCCATGATAATGTGACATATTTGCAAAATATATCTTTTTATATGTGTAGCAACCATCCGCAATGGTGCTCCAAAGGTTTTTAAAACCCTGCGTTCCTTTTTGAAATTTTTATGAATTTTATTAGTAAAAATATCCAAACACCCTTGGTAATGGGAGACAGTAATGCCCCAGATTGCTGGTCAGGAAAGTGGTAGTACTATTATTCTATGCATTTCCATCTTAGTTGTCTGTAACTGACTGTTTAGTTTGATGCTGTACTGTAGATGTGTATGTGATGATCCTAGGGAATGTTGCTGCCCAGCACAAGAATAGACCAACCCTGACAAGCATGTGGTATAAGGCAACTAACTAGGGCTTCACGGAAATCAGATGTGCTGAGCCTAGCTGTAAACCAGACATAAGTCAACCATTTTTTTAAAGAAGCAAACGTTACAGATTAAGAAAAAGTTAATAGATATGTCCATAACCTAGCAGTAGTATAGGCTTATTTACAAGGTATCTAATGTGTTCACATTCTCCTGTTTAATATATTTCTGATAGAGGTATATATTACAAGTGCGGGTTGGACTTGTATGTTTGCATTTATTTCATGCATACTGTTTATTTGTCCAGATTGAGCTAGAACTGGGCAATATTTGCCGTGATATTCTGAGTGTCATTGACAAGCACTTGATTCCAAATGCAGCCACTGGGGAGTCCAAGGTCTTTTATTACAAAATGTAAGTCCTAAAACTTCTTAGAATTGGACACTGTCATCATTCTGAAGACGCTTGCGATATAATTTCATTATCTTTCTGCTCTTTCCTGTTTGTTTGTTTTCAAGACATTGCTATGTATTATTATTCATTATAATTTTGCTGTCATTAGTTTGTAAATTTTATGGACAGCTACTCTATCTTTATATAAAGTGTCATCAGCAAATCCCAAAAAATATGATTTATTTCTTACATTAGATGGAAGTCATCATATCCTTACCTCATATAATAATAAAATGAATGTCTTGTTGCAATTCAAAAACTCTGCTCAGATCAGGGGAAGGAAAAGACCAGAATTGGAGCATTCTGTTAGAATTCAGCTTGATAATTAAAAATCGCCAGTGTAGGGATTTCACAAAAATTAATTTACTGCCAGAAAATGGTTTCACCCACTGACTACTCCACCCTGTTAACCCTTAAACCTTCCCAGATACTATATATTTTAGTGTCTTCCCAGATACTATATATTTTAGTGTCTGCTAAAAATGCCTTAGCTTCACTGCTATTTGACATGAAACTGATATTTTGCGTTTTAGCACCAAATTGAATGAAGGATAAATTTCAAGAAAATAAATTGCCTAATTGTGCATCATGTTGGCTGTATGGGGGGGGGGGGGGGGAAGAGATCTATTCACACTATTATTTGATTAATCTGTGATAAGAGCTCCGCCTAACTGAAATAAAATTATGTAAATTCAGTGGCTGTTTGCCATTTTGCACTAAGAACTTTTGGTATGATGCGATGGAATCGTCACATTTTTTTTTATTATTAAAAAAAAAGCAACAATCTTTTTCCCCAAAGATGCGTGGGAATCGTGCCCCATTTCATGGGGAGGATTACACTGAAACTATTTTCACTAATCTCTTTAGCCACAGAGCCGTAATATACACGTTCTACCTTAAGACGGATCTAACAATACATACATGAAACAGTTTATTTAATATAATGTAACATAACACACCTAACTCTTGACTGCTACGCCACCACTGCTGTAAGTGAAACCTCATCTTCCAGATCCATTGATGTCAGTTTGTGAGAATTATCTAAAACAATCCAGAAAATAACCCACAGCATCCTGTTTCCCTTAAAGAAACAGAAATGAATGCGCTTACTACATTTATCGCAAAAGTCGCTTTTTGTTGTTGTTGTGGTGAGCCTACAAAGTTTGCCACAGTGGGTGCGGTCATGCTAGCTAGGTGTAATGTCGGTAGATCATGTAATGTGCGATTGTGGTAGTCAGCTGGTTAAAAGCCATGCTCAGCATAATGAGGTATTTTGTTGGTTTGAAAATATTGTGGAAATGTGATTCTGTTAAACAAATCAATTTAACAACTAATCACTTTGTGCATTTTCTGTTATAGCTGTAGATTACTAACTTTTTTTTGTATAGAAAAACACAATGATGTCTCATGTTTCATTTCAGGAAAGGTGATTATCACAGATACCTAGCTGAGTTTGCTACAGGCAACGATAGGAAAGAAGCTGCAGAGAACAGTTTAGTTGCCTATAAAGCTGCCAGTGACATATCTATGACAGAATTGGCACCAACACACCCTATTCGTTTAGGCCTGGCGCTCAACTTTTCAGTATTCTACTATGAAATATTGAATTCCCCAGACCGTGCTTGCAGACTGGCCAAAGCAGCATTTGATGATGCTATAGCTGAATTAGACACCCTCAGTGAAGAGAGTTACAAGGATTCAACATTGATCATGCAGCTGCTCAGAGATAACCTCACATTATGGACATCTGACATGCAGGGTGATGCTGAAGCAGGTAAGTAATCTTGTGTGTGGTTTTATCATTGATATGTGCATTGTTGGAGCAGTCCATATCAGATAGAGTTGTGACCAGTTGTTAACATTAACATTTGTTAAGTAATCTGATTTACTGTGCCGAGACAGCTGTGGTCCCTAATGAACGATAGCCTTTAATATAATTGTTAGTCTTCCCTCTTCCCCCCATCCTCCCATTAAAACAAGTGGTATACATATATTGAAACCCATACAACAATTTTTAATCTACAAACAGGACACTGCAGGCTCAATTACCACATGCATTAAAAAAATACTGTACAGTCCCCACAGTATGCCTGTCTCAAACAGGATTACAAACACCTGAGCACATTCTGCAGACCTGCCCATTCTACCTACACCTTCAAAAAGACACCTGGCAAAGTGTGCAGAGCAAGCTGTGGGGAACCATGAAGGACCTGCTACTGACATGCGAGTTCATAGAGGCAACCCACCTGGTGGTCTGATCCGAGCATGCAAAACCAAATGCAAAGAAGAAGAAGAATTTAAACCCTTTTTGTTCAGTTTATGATTACCTGAAAGAATCATGAGGCTTGCCCTTATTACCTAGAACTGTACAGCCAATTACTTTGTGTTCCCACCTCATCTTTCTGAGCCTGATAATGAAACAGCTTCATCTGAACTAGGTGTTTTTTTTGTGTTTTTTTTTAACATGAAATAATGTACCGGGTACCTCAGGGCTGAAGGTTGATTTGTGTAAATAAAGTTCCAGTCCATGTTGGGTGCTCTGTAACTTCTTGAGAAGTGACAGAATATTAAGCTTGGGAGAGAGATAGGAGGCTACATTACTGTCAGTAGTAAAAGTCATTGCTTTGCATTTACAAGCTACATTATCAAAAGTTCTTGTGTATAAATTAGGCAGGGCTGTTAGCTGAATTCCCTCAGGGGAATTTAAAAAAAAAAAAGGGTTGCTATATGCCTGAACCCCGGCATAGAAAGATTAACACAGTGCCGTTTTTATTGTATAGGTTGTTTTTTTTTATATAGCTAACAGGTCCTGTTGTATGCCTTATAGCGGGGAGTAGGGGGGGGGGGTATGTAATTATAGGTTTGGTGGAGCCTAGGCCATGCTGTTAAAATTTCTGTTCTGCTTGGGGGTGGGCTGGGGAGCTCACAAAAGCACTATTTCACTGTAGGAGACCAAATAGGGAATTCATTGGTTTCAGTAATTTTGTTTACCTTTATAATTATCTGTCCTGTTTCCCGGTGAGCAAGCTGTTACATATAAATAAAAGTAGTTTTTGGCTTTTGCTTAACGTTTTTCTTTCTCTCTCTCTCTCTCTCACCCTAGGTGTTGAGGCAGAGCGAACTCCGAATGATGCAGAGGAGGATGCATCGTAAAGCTGTGTAGCATTAGTGTACTACAATTTTGAACATGTGAAGTTTTAGTTTGTCAGTTCATTACCAAAACTGCTATTCTGTGTGATCTTTGTTCCCGGCATATGTGAGATGTGAGTTTTTCCCCTTCAAGATTAGGCGTGCTGCTTGTTCATAAGCCAAAGTTGTCCAAAATGGCCCCTACTGTGAAAGGAAGACTTCATGCTGTGAGTGTGTGCTGTTTGCTAAGCCATGTCAATGTAGCATTATTGTATGTCTTGTTTTGCTCTGGTTTTTTTTTTTTTTTTTTTTGAATTTGTAGTTTCGCCACACCTACTAACATTTAAGGGAAAGAAGCATTAGTAAAAATGAAGTGTATTTTTTTCTACTGTAGTTTTTCTTCTTCTTAATTGTTGGCTGCCTGAATTACTTGCTTATGTCAGCCCTATTTGGCAACTGCTCCACATGGGTTTTTTTTTTTTTTGGCCACATATTCTCTGGACCTCCTCCATTTGCTTCCCTTGATACGAATGGCGTGAATGTTTGTTTCGTTACTTGTATCAATATCTGTCAAATTGTAAAGTGTTGGCAGTTGTCACATGTCAGCCACAAACCTTTGCTTTTGTTTGTTTGATTTGTGTAGTCTAGATAAGTGAAAACAGTGACCCTGCAGGTGTCGGAGCCGATGGCATCTCCCATGCTTTCCTTTTTTTTCAGCATAAACTACAATCAGTAACTGGTTGTTACTGATCAGTGTTATATACAAGTGTAGCCTCTGGTGTGGACCTTAGCCAATGTTGATGGTCACAAGAGCTCGACTAAGCCTTGTTCTCCCATGTGTAAGTGTGGGAAGAATTTGCTATTGGCTTCATGTCGGAAACTGTCTGATGTCATTGATATATATTACATGCTGACATTTCTCACATGATGAACTCTCATCAGGTGTTTGTCTCACCGAACCAGCTGTTTTAATGTAACAAAACTACCATTGGTTAAAATGGTGTTCTGTCAGTGTTAGTTTTGTTTTCCTTACATTTATATATTTCAATCTGTTCATTTGACACATGTACCAAGGTAAATACATTAATCTTAATTTATATTGACCTGGATGGATATAAATTTTTTTTTTTTTAAGTATTTGGCTTCTAGTGATTACACTTGAAAGGTTTGCACTTGTCCATTTCTTGTACTTGCCGTTTATATAATTCAGGAACTAGTTCATTATTAACATTCACTTTATGAATTGGAATGTGAGGACATTTATTTTTTCTAAATTGCAAAGTATCTTTTAAGATAAAAGTACTGTAATAAATTCCAAGTGTTTGGCGATAATCGTGATGTTGTTGACATCCTGAGAATGTTAGTGCTATGTAGTTCTTAGCGCAAGATCAATTGTGGTGTTAATCCGTTCTTATATGATGGTCACTTTTATTTAAATCATGCCCAGTTTATAAATATTTATGAAAAAGTATAACTTCCATACCATTTGGACACGTGAGATATCACCAGTTGTCATGCTTTTGATTTCAATTAAATCTATATTCAAGTGCAGACATATTGCGTGTTTTTGGGTTTTATTTGACTGATTGATCTTGGTCCAGTCAGCACTGGGCTGCCATTCTTGCTTTGAGATGGGCATCGGGCACAGGTGGATAGGGACAAGTCTCACTGGAGAATTGTATATGTATAGATCTGTTTGTAAGATGATGTGTTGGTCCTTTTGTTAAACTCTGCTAGAGCTGTCATAGAGAATGATGTCATGGTAAAAAATTTCACCAGACGCCTTTACAGACACAATTGATGTGGCTTTTATCCAAGAGACAATGTCCATCACAGATTGTCAGAGGATATGAGTTGAGTCAAGAATTGACATCACAGCACTCGGGACATGCTCTGTCCACATCTTCAGCAGCCAGCACAGAGTTCCAATACTGATGGTACCGGTTGTCATGGGATATTCAGCTGTACTCTACCATCCAAAGCTCAGCATCAATAAGCAAAATACCTGAGAACACAACATATATTGTAGGCCCAAGGCAGGAGTTTCCATTTCTAGATAAAGGAAGATAACATTTATCTATATAGCCCAGCAGATTTAGATTCTAGCGTTGTTTGCTAATGAATTGAATGACACAAACTGGTGACTTATAGTCGCTCATCAAAATTGGGATACAATGTGACTGACAACAGAGGAGATAAAGTGGAGGACAGAAAACAATTTAATGTTCATTTAATGAAACCAAAAGACTCACCCAGTTTCTACTACTCTAGAATATAGTGAAATACTTCCGCACATAAGACAGTCTCCATAAAACTGGTCACACTGTACTAGATCAGTTAGCGGGCAGCGATCACAGACCGGTGAAACTGGTAAATCTGAATTATATCCCACAGGAGCAAAAACCATTGCCTCGCTGGAATTACACACAAGCTGTTTGGGATACATCTGCAGTGCTCGCAGACCAGTAATGCAAAAACAAAACAATACGGCATGAAAACAATAGTGGAAAGTCTGAATCCATACAGCTGGCAGCCAATGAATTCATTCCAAGGAGGGGGGGGGGGGGTAGAGTCCATGCTGGACCATAAAGAGCTAAACATTTGTGATGGAAAAAAATCACGAAGACAGCAAAGAGAACGTATTCCTGTATGAGTTTTTAAAAAATATTGGGGATTTAAAACGAAACGTGAAAGCCATGAAGATTGAAAGGCCCAGTAACAAACAACTATTTAACAAGGTAGCAACATATTTTTCAACAGGGGAAAGGGCTGCAAATGCACTGATGGAATGTCGAGGCATAACATATAAAGTAATGAAAGATAGACACATCACAGTAAAACAGAGAAATTACAACGTAAGATGAAAACATTTAAATTTGGAAGAGCTCGGATGGACAACGCTCTCTCTTTCCCCCCCTCTCCCCCCACCCCCCAAAAAACATGATGGAATTAATGAATAGGTCTAGGTACTGTGGCGAAAAAGAATTTCAACTTGAAGATAGGTATAATCCTTCCTGTATAGTAGTAGTACTTTTACCCCACCAGGACATCACACAAGCGATAAACATCCGATGACAAGGTGCCACCATATGAATGAGGATCACCCTTGGAAAGGTCCCAGAAACCGCGTTCAGCCATTAGGTCATATTTATGGTCGGGCTATATTGCGGCCCCAGGTAAGAGCCAGGGTAGGGCTTCAAAATAACGAAAAATTGCATCTCACAAGGGGATGACTAAGGTTTTGGGTTAGCCTCCTGCATGTAAGGAAGCTAAACCAATAACAGCCCAGAAGAAAGGAAAAGACCGTGCAGAACCAAATGCCTATCGACCGGTTAGTTTAGTTGCGCTGAACAAGTAATGGAAATCACTAAACACAACAGGTTAATGGGTTTAATTCTAAAGCCGGCGAGATTTAGAAAGTACAGATCCACGGAAGACACAAAGTTTTTGTTTATTTGGGGGGGGGGGGGGGGTCGATTCTTTCCTTTATTTTCAAACTGTATGTGTGAGAGTAGTGTTAGGTGCTATCGTGTAAAGTATTTCTATGTTTGCTTATAATTTGTAGTAAAGTCTGTTGACATCTGTTGCCGTTTGTTAGTACCTGTCGTGTTATGTACAAGTGTAATAGAATCAACACCGTTGATCTATCATAT